AACTGAAGACCAGGAAGATGCACTAGACAAGCGATATAGTTGTACGTGATGGAGAAGGGAACAAAGGGTTTCAGTAGAGAAGATGATGTGGAGAACAATCCTAGACAACGCTGTATAGACTCCAGAGCAGCTTTTCCCAGAGAACAAATGCTGGCTTCCGCAGGGACTGGCTACATCACCTCCCGTGTCCTCAGCTATGCCATGTTTATTCCAGGTGTTTGCCACTCTGACTGCTTTTCAGCTCTTACCAGCATGAGAGGGACAGGGTGGTACCCTTCCTGTACTACCGTATTTCAAAGAAAATCACAGCATGAGGGAACTTTCTACAGTGATCTTACTGAGGACAGGATGCCATGAGATCAAAAATGAATAGTCAAATTCCAGGTAGTGGTGGCGGTGGCGCATACCTTTAATCCCAGCACTCAGGAGGCAGAGGCAGGTAGATCTCTGAGTTCGAGGCCAGCCTGGTCTACAGATTGAGTTCTAGGACAGCCTCCAAATCAATACAGAGAAACCCTGTCTCGAAAAACCAAAAAAAAAAAAAAAAAAAAGGAAGCTGAGCAAAAACTCTCAAGGACAGTAAAACACAAAGGCGATGTGAACTTAAGACACACTGAGCATGCTCCTGGAAACTCCCCAAACTTGCAGATGGTAAAAGGGACCACAGGACATCTCAAGTGCCTGAATCATCAGCGCTTGTTCCACCATAAGGCCAAGAAAGCTATACACCCAGGACAAAGCCTGAACTTCGGAATATGCTGCAGCCTGTATATTGTAACACTGTTACACAAAATATACTTCAAAGAAGCCATGTTTAAATTAGGAACTAAAACATTCTGCAACATTCCTTTCTTTGATGTTTCTATTTTCTTGTAACAATTCTTGCATCTCTATGTTAAAGACTGGAAACAAAAGGGAAATTATTTTTTTAAGTATCTGGAGCCAAGGCAATGGATCAGTGGGTAAAGTTGCTTGCTATATATGAGGATCCCCAACACCCATGTCAAAGCTGGGTAGTGGTGACACAGCCTGTAATTCCAGCACTGGAAAGGGCAGACAGGAGGATTGCTAGACCTTGCTGGTCAGTCAGCCTAGCCAAAATGGCAAGCTCCAGTGAGATGGTCTCTAACACAAACAAAAACCAACAGAGTACATTGACGGCCAGGCTCCTTACTCCACATATACCTGCCCACATCTTCATACAAATTCATAGAAAACACACGCACATAGTATGTCAAACCAAAAATACTTTTAAAACATGAATGCATAAGCAAGCTAGGTGGTGCACACCTACAAGGCCAGCACATAGGATGTAGAAGGAAGAGGATCAGGAGTTCAAGACCAGCCTGAGCTACATAAGACCTGTTTCAAAATAAGGCATCTCAGTCAGGCAGGTGTGGGTAAATACCCTATTATCCCAGCACTAGTCAGGCAAGCAAAACAATGAAAACAAAGTGGCAATTTGGAATATAAACTGCACTAAACTCAGCTTTGCTGAGGTAGTGTATAAAGTTGCTGCATGTGTGTATACGTTCCATTGTGTCTGCCTTCCAAAGAAAAGGGACTGTTAGGCTCTGTCTATGCACAGATAAAGGATGTTAGTGTCAACAGCTGTCAAGGTGGACCTCTCTCCCACCTGATCATCCTCTTACCTTCGGCTCTGGTCCAGTCTTCCGTGAGGACCCCGAGCAGGAAATCTGTTCAGGTGGCTCAGGTGAAGTGTATGGGATGTCTGGAAGAGACTCAGAGCTGAAGAAAGGAAATGGCCGGTGACTCAAAAGCCCTAAAACCCATGCAGCTTCCTCCTCCTCTTCCTGGGTCCAGAAGTACCCCTTTCTGTCCTGAGAGCATCTGTGTTAAAGTAACAAGTCCTTTCTTCCAAAATATCCCACAAAGCCACACCCCAGCATGCATGCCACCTGTACTCACGCTTCTGAGGGAAAAGCGGGGGAATTCGGTGAGGCTGAAAGATCAACTGGGGCTGAGCTCCCAGGATCCCCTGCTTCTGGCCCAGAGCTGCCACATGCAGAAGGGGGGGTGCTGGAGACTTCAGCAAGGGCTAAAGGAAAATAGCCAAGAAGTTTAGGGGATCCCAGCCTCGATACCATGGAGCCATCCTGTCCCCTCAACAAAAGGCAGGATTATGCCCAAAAGTCGGGGTACAGGACTCCCTTGTCTCCCGCCCCTTTTCAATGCACATGCAAAAGAGGTTAATACCTGGTTGGAGAGCGTCTGCACCTTGACAGCATTCCAGGGGACTGCCTGGCCTGGGTTATATGCAGCCTTCACCAGCACCTTCTCACCCAGCTGGGGTAGGCGGCCCTTCACCACACTGCCAGCACACAAACCAGGAGGCCCCGTCAGCAGGGCCCTGGGACAAGCCACCCTGACTGCCCCAGGAAGCCCTTCCCATCGAGATTTCTCACCTTGCCGTAAAATAACAAAGCAATGGCTCTAAAGAGGGGACCCACCAGCGTGGAGACAGAACTGAATCCAACAAACACTCCCAGAAGAGACGAGCCTCAAGCCTACCTTAGCTGAAAAAAGACTTCTTCGTCTACCACCCCGAAGTAGTCGTGCAAGCTGGTAACAATGCCGGTGAAGACCCGCTGCTTCTCCCCGCCCTGCAAGACAGGACAGTTGTTCAAAAGCACAGGGAGCCACAGCAATAAAACTGTTCTCTGCCATTAGGGCCTCGAGGCACAAGGGCCCTGGCTCATGGTGTTACAGGAAACTTCCCATAGGGAAAGAAGCTAATTCTTCATACTTCTGGGATATCCAGTTCTTTAATCCCAGAAGGCACCAGGAGATCTCTCTGGGGTCAGATACTAAAAACTCCCCAGTCTAAAAGATGTCTATGTTCCCCAACACTGGTTCACTATCAGGAAAAACAAAACAAAACAAAAAAACCCACAGATGCTGACCACTGTAACACAAGAAGCAACACACACCAGATAGCCAAACACACTAGGGTGGCCCCAAGGAGAAACTCACTCTAGAAAGGGGACCCAACATACCTGAAGGTGCCTGGCATTTTGGGACAGGTCCGTGGCTACAGGAGGAGTAAGCAAACCAGGAGGAGGACCCAAAAGAGATGTTGAAGCCGAGCCTAGGAGACAGAGAGCAACCTCCAGAAACTGCACCTCACCACCCTAAGCATTAGTGACAGCCAGAGGATCCTGTAAACCTAAAGGTCAAAGTGGCTCCAACCAGCTCCTCAGACATTCAGGGAAAACACCCAAGAACAATATTTTTGAAAACTGAGTCCAGAATACAGCCGGATAAGGAAGGTAAGCACCTGAGAAGTTTCGTCCCCCTGGAAGTGGGCTGATCCTCTGGCGCTTAAACTGGGACATTGGGAATGCTGTCCTTTCAAGGTCCTGGGAAACCTTCAATCAAAAAAAAAAATTAAGACGTTAACAGCTCAAATGGAAAGTTTCCATCAATTACCTGAAAAATCTTAATGAAGTAAAGCTTTTAAGGTGAGGAGGTGAGTCCTAAAATGGAGGAATGGGGAGGATGTAGAGGAAATGAAATGGGTAATTACGCTACTCCAGTTTGACCTCACAATAATGGTGGGTGCTAGGGACATGCTGGTCTACAGACAACGACACTGGAGCTTTGAGATCAGGAGACTTGCCCAAGGCAACAAAACCAGGTAGTGACAGAGCAGGACTCACACCCAAGTCTCCCAACAACTTAGCACTCTTTCACTATGCCACTGGCACCCTTAGGCTGGCGGAGTGAGGGGCTGGAAGAGCTCCGATGACATTCATTCATTCAAACACATCCGCCAAAACACTCCACGCAGGGCCCGGAAAAAATGGAGGTGCGAGTAGCGGGGAGATGATGCGGGCCCTCTCCCCGGAAGCCCGCCCGTCCTCTCCCACCGGCTGGTAGGAAGGGAGCTGTCCAGCCGGCCTTCGCCAAGCGGCCTGCAAGCCGCTCCCTCCTCCTAGGTCCCGACCCTCGGCTCCGGCCTCCGCAGCCACCTGCGCAGAGCCTTCCGGGCCGAGCCACCGAGAGGCCACCGTGGGAGGACCACGGCGCGTGGTTTCTCCTCCTCCCGCCCGCCCCCAGGGCCCAGGCCGTTGCCAGGGAGACGGAGCTTGCAGTCCGGAGGGGGGCTCGGCCCTTTCGGAGACTGGCACATCTCCGCCGATCGGACCCCTGCAGCCTCACCACCCAAGAGAGACGCAGAGGCTGAGGCTCAGCGGGAGGCCCCCAACCCACCTGCGGGCCAGGGCCACGACACCAGGGGGACAAAGACACCCGGAACCACCGCAGCCGCTGCTGCCACCACCACCGGAAACGCCTCTCCGGAAGAGCGACCACTGGTCGGAAGCTGCCACTCTCCCGGATATGGTACCTCCCTCTTCTCCATCGACCTCTCCCTTCCCCCACGCCAGCCAGCCATCCTGCTCCAACTGTGGAACGGAAGTGCGCCTTCCCAGATCTGATAATGCATTTGGAAGCCGAGCTCAGTGGTGTCCTCGCTCTAGTGTCCCATTAGAAAAGTAGGCTTCAGAACATTGGTTCCTGGATTCAAGGCGACTGGAACTGGACCCCTCCCTCAAATACAAGGAAGGGACTACTACTCACACACCTGCTGCACTCTGCCAATCCCCCAAACTACAGCAACAAAAGAAGCAGCGCCTCCATTAACTGGAGGAGGAGCGTGCCTACTCGGGGGCTATTTCTAGCAGGCATTCTTCTGTCTGACTTTAGCCAATGACCTACATCCCTATTCCTGTCCTTCTATTGACAGCACCACCAGCAAGGGGCAATCGGATCAGAAATCTATGCCCAATTTCTCAAATATGAAATGTGCTACATCTCAATGAAATGACTTAGCAAACTCTTGCTGGAAATCTCATTATTTACACACCAACTAGCAGTTGCCACCCTCCCTTAACCCCTGACCTTCCTCCCATCATTCCACTCCTGTCTGCCTCCAGCAGCACACTGTTTCTATTCATTTAACAGTCACAGCACACACAGAGAGTTTAATGTCACTTTATCCTCCTAACAAGCTCATGAGGTAGGTAAGGCAGGCATCATCCCCAGTAGGAAGCTATGGCTCACAAATTGAGAGACGTTGCCATGGTCTAGATTCCAGGAGAGAACACAGCAACTTAGAATTGACCTTGAAAGTTATTTGCTATTCTCTACATTGTGCTTTATCTTCTCCCACATTGCCCACTCAGTTTTCAGAGGCTGAGTCCCCAAGGCAGTGTCGTTCTCTGTCCCAGGGCTGCCGTCTCGGGTGTGAGGAAGAAATTAGAAATCCATACTGGAATGGAGATCAGTGCCATCCTTCCACAGTTACAAAGCACCAACCCTTTGGATGCATGATTCCATCAGATGACTGAATCCAGGCAGTCAGTAGTCCAACAAAGATTGCATGAACACACACCTGCAACACGCTGGCACATTACCTTACTAAGCATGTTCTGTGAGCACCTTATAAATGAGTCCATTCACACTGCCTGAGCCCAGAGATTTCTGACAAGGAGGAAGAACCCTGGAAGCTGACCGGAACTGCACTTGAGGGTCTCTCAGGGAACCAGGGCTCCTTGCCCATGCTGCTTAGAGAAGGGCTTGGCCCTCACCTTGAAGTGGAGTGAGCACAGATAGCTTTTCCTGGCAGTGCAGAGACACAGCAGTAAGCCAAAAGGTGATGGGGCTTCATGGCAAATCCCTTCCACCCAAAGTCACCAGGCATGCCAACAGGTCATACAGAAAGGTTTTTTGCTCGTGGTTTCTTAACCACCAGTGTTGGTATAAAGGTCTTCCGGTGGGAGTGGCATTGAATCCTTTCAGACAGGTTCCTGAACTCCATCCTACAAAAAGGCAAAGCAGAAGTTAGACTAGGAAGAAGCATCCAGGACTACAAGCATTGCTTACTTCCTGGGGAGAAGATAGGATTGTCAAAGTGGCACTTGTTCTGCCTAAAGAACAAGCCTCCAGACATGACACACTTCACAGAGTAAAATAATTTACCTCTGTGCCTACCTCAGCATCCCCTAATCTCAGTGTTAAGGAGTGAGGGCTTGGAGGTGAATATAAAGATATGCCCCATTAAAAAAAAAAGATGCCCTGTAATCTGGTTGTGGCTTTGGGAAAGCCAATGTCCCTAACTTCATCTAGTCTTCAGTCTTCTTACCGTCAAATGGGGCATCTTAACTACTTTTGTTATTTGGAGCAGCTTCTCCAACACTTTGTCTCACAAATTCCATAGGGACTAAGATGACAGCTGTCAGGACAGAACAACATCAACATTCTGGTCCATCAGACTCTCCCCCACTGCCTTAACCTGGACTAGGCACAAGGCTCACCTGGGTCCAGAACCATCAGGAGGAGCAGGAGGCTCAGGGAGTCGAGGGCTCCTCCAACGGATGCGGTTGAGCAGCACCTTGACCTTGTCCCAGTGGGAGAGATCCTGCTGAACAGAGAATAGGTCATCATACAAAGCATCTGAACACTATATATTCTTAACAATGCTCCCAGGGACTTCACTGCCAGAGCAAGTCACCTGCTCCAAACAGGAACCCTGCCATTTCCCTAGAGTTCTGATTTGGGGCACTTACCCATCCCCATGCTCATCTACCCTGCGCCATTCTACCTCCTGCTCCAAATATAGCCATCATTACCTTGTGTCCCTGCGAGCATGGAAGGGTGTGGGTTGAGTCCAGCAAGGCCTCTGGCACCCCCACCTCTGGGAGTGAAGCTGCCTCTGCACCTTCAGAAAGAGAACCACATCACCTGGGGCCAGAAACAAACAGGAAGCAATCCTGCTAAGCTACAGTTCAGCGGGTCTGCCGGCGGGACCCTGGGCAGGCAGAATGTGGAGAAAGACACATTACCCCTTACCTGGGTCCCTTGTCCGATTTGGCTGCTCTCTGTGCCCTTGCACCCTATTGTCCGGGGTATGTGAAGATGATGACAGAGCCAGAGCCAATTCTTCCTCCTCGGGATCCTGGGACGGGAGAGATGGGGCAATCCGAGACTCATTAGAAACCTGGGGCTGTTCAAAAGGCGTCCATGCTTCCCAGAGTTCCACCTTTTCCCCTGCCTCCCTCACTACCTGACCTGGCCACCTGCACCTGTCCACCACTCACCCTAGATGGTCTCTGGGTCTGCAACTGCAGGTACAGCTGCTGGAGCCTTGCCATCTGCTCCAGCACAAGGCACAGGTGTTCCAGGTAACGTAAACCCTGCCCTGGAAGGCAGGTCAATGCTCCAGACTCCATATCACCCACCTGTGGGACATGTTAACAGGAAGACTTCTAGAATCAGCCAAGACTCCCATTCTGGGGGTCAGGCTATGCTGAACCAACAAAATGGGATGGCATGCAAGCTGAGAAAGACACACTTGGCTGACTTCCCTGGTGCCCGGTTGAGCATAGCACCCATACCTGTCTGCTTCCTCTGTGGGGGTGGCTACATACCACCGGGTTCAGGGTGAGGCAAGGAGCAGTGACACAACCATCAATTAAGGGCAAGGAATGCCCCACCTCGAAAGAGCTCCAGGGGAGATGGGGTGAGGGTCCCCACAAGCCCCAAAGCAGGGCATTCTCCACCCCAGTCTTCAGCCAAGATGCATACTCACCACCTTTGCCTCTTCAAGCCCAGCCTCGAGCTCAGTGTCTGCCTCAGTGGACTCCAGTTCCCCTGCAAAGATGGGAACGCCACCTACAGGCTTGCTCAGCAGCTGCATGGGGCGCCGCTGTCCAGACAGGCTGGGAAACTCTAGAGACCTCTCCAGCACCTGGTCCAGCTTCCTTCGGGCCAGCAGCCTGTCTAGCTGGGCAGAAGGCAGCTCAGGGCTCCCCATGGGCTCAAGGTTCAGAGAATCTTGAGAAAGTCCTGATAAGGTAGCCAAAGGGCTATCCCCAACCACCATCTCCATGCCCGAGTCCTGGGAAGCCAATTTCAGAAGTGGCATCTGTCCCTCCCCAAAGTCCGGTGAGCATCCGTGGGTTTTATCTGGTATCCGTCTGTAGGTGCAGATGACTCCTGGCACCACACAACCTTGTGCCAGGTCTTCAAAGGCTCCATCTGTAGGGAGAGTCGGTATTAAGCTGGGCAAGCTGCCCTCATCACCCCCAGCATTCCTAGAAGTTGGCAGTATTTTTCTGAGGACTTGAGGTGTGTCCTGTACCAGTGGTGAGCAAGGACACAAACCATCCACAGTCCCATTGGGAAAAGGCTCTACCCCTGCTTGGAAGAGTGGGGTTCTTACAACAAGAGTTGTCAACAGACAGGAACCAACACTTTGGGCATCTGGGAGGCAAAGTTCTTGCAAGCTGTGACAATCAGCAATGCAGATGACTTAATAGGTCCTTAATTAGGATCTACCTGAAATGTCTTGGATATGAGAGGAAGAAAGAGCAAGGTGAAGGTGGGGGCCAGACAGTGCCATCTGGAGCTTAACCCATCAGGAAGCAGGATGAGTTGTCTCCTGGAGTTTATGGGGACAATGATAAAAATGACGGCAGCTAGGGCTAGGATGTGACACACTGACAGCTTTCAAAGCATGCACAAGGCACTGGGCTCCACACTGTACAACAAAAACAACAATGACAGCAACTATAATCACTTGGGACTTGTGTCTTTTTAGAAAGGAGGGTCGTGTGACAGAAAGGAAAAAACAGGGTTGGATCGTTGCTTCAGTATTTTAAGGCATTGCTTTTCCGAAGACGGGTGCTGGATTCCCAGCATCCACATGGACCTTCACAACTCCAGTTCCAAGGGATCTGGTTCCCTCTTCTGATCCCCCTGGCCATTCCACGCAGGTAAAACACACAAAAGTCCAAATTCTTTAAGAAAAAAAAACTTTTAAGATACAAATAAGTGAAAACAAGGAAGCCGACTTTTGTTTTGTTTTTGAAACAGTGTTTTACTCTGTAGCTCGAACCGCCGTAAAACCTCCTCCTGCCTCGGCCCCCCAAGTGCTAGGATTATAGACATGAGCCTCCACATTCTTCTGGCTGCCACCTATTTATCAGCATCTTTATACCTGGCCGCACTGTGGTCTGGGTGATCTCCTGGAATCCGGCAGAAGTTAGGGCTGCTTTGGCGGGAAAAGGATGCCAGCCCGTCCCCTGTGGGTCAGGAAGCGGACGAGGAAGCCTATACCATGCAACCTTCCCCAGGAAATGGGTTTGTGCCCGCTGAAGGGCTTCCAGAATTGCTGGTTGGGGCAACCGTATCGAAGTCACCCCACCTCGGGTAGGAGAAGTCTGCACACTGGAAATTAGGGGGGAAGGAGCCCATGGACCAGTAGGATGAGGGTAGTGAGTGATTAACCTGAAAGTCCAGGAGGAGCTGCACTGTCCCCAGCCTATTCACTGACTGGACTCCCTCAAAGCAAGGAAGCGAGGGGGCGCGGCCGGTGGGCACCGCCCGTGCGGGGCCAGAGAACAGGAGGCGACCCCAAGGTGGGAGACAACGCGACTCACCCCGGTTGCCAAGTCGTTCCACCGCAAAGACGCGGCGCCGGCTCAGCATGGTTCGTCCCCGACTAGACGTGGCAACCGCTGCAACACCCAAGCGATCCCGGGCGTCCCCAAATCCCTAGTTTCGCCGAGCGGCTCAGCCTGATGTCCCCGCCCAGTTGGGCGAGGTTCCGGGACACGCCCCGTGAGGGCGGGCCGGGGCGGGGCACGGCACGCAGGTGGAGGGCGCTGACCAGGACAACTTCAGTCCAGGGACTCCCTTCCCCCGCCATCGTGTCCGCACCCCTGGCTGCAGAATGACCCCAATCCAGTGCTCCTGGAGGAGCGCGTCCCCACTCGAGGGCTGCGCGGGATAACACCCCCACTCGTGCCGGCTGCGTTCCTGATGCAGCTTGAAAGCTGCTAGCGCGGGAGCTGCACTTGACAACAGCACGGAAGGAAACGGAACCCCACTGTGCTGGCGGGGGGGAAGAAAGCTGACTAGTACTGCATCCGGCCTCCCAGCTGTGTGGCTTGAGGGCAGGTCCCTCAGCCTGTCAGAAAGGGGGAAGGGTTCTGCGCCCTGGGAAAATTTACAGAGCACTCATTACAAGGCGCTCTGAGTTCAGAGCTACTTATGAGCTCTTAACCAGCTCAAGAGTCTGTCTTATCCGGGTGCTACTGCAAGGTTGCAGGGGTGTGGGGACTGGGTCTGCAGGGTGTGGGCAATAGGTGAGCCTGCAGCTGCCTGGAGGCTGACCCTAGCAGCCATCACCTTTGACCTGGTCCCATTCCACCCCAACCCCAAAGCCCAGGCAGCAGCTGATGGCCAACCACCAGGTGACCAGATGATGCTGGGGGCTTCTGGACACTGCCTTTCTCAGAAGCCAATAAGGGCTGGAAAATCACAGCTGGCTTCAAATCCCCTAGAGGCAGACAAGGGTGTACTTGGGAGGAGAGGCTAGAGAAGGCTGCCGGCCTCTTTCCTAGACCCCATCCTCAACTGCTCTCCACTGGTCCTTCATCAGACAGTCACCAACAATGGAAGTTCAGTACTATAAAGTCAGGAAACTGAGGCACCCAACATGCAAGAGGAGAGCCGGAATTGCAGTTTTCTGCCATCTTCAGGCCTTGATGTTTCAGCCAAGTCCTTTTCCTGCAGCCTGAGTTCCCAGGGCTGCTGGCTGCCCCACCCCCATACCCGGCCTTCAGATATAACGAGGGAAACAGGATGCTGGGCCAGGCAGTCCTGCTTTCTCCAGGTTCAAGAAGAGCTTGCCAAGCCAGGTGGCTTCCCCCTCCAAGGTGAAACTGTAGGGAAGAAGGGAGACCCTTTGCCTGATCTCGCCCTGAATTTGGAAAATGTGAGGCCCAGATTCCAAGCAGTCTCCCTGGCGACTAGGACAGGAATGCATCTAGAAACAGGAAGCCAAGCCAGCAGGAATGCAGCGTCTCAGCACAAAGAGCCCACACACACCCCACTAAGTACACTCCCCAACAAATACTTCCCTCCCAGATAGGGCCCCACCCCCTTGGGCAAGGCTGGGCCAGGTCTGAGCAGTCACAGCCTTCATGGGAACTGGGCCTATGTGGTGGGCTGGCTGTGGCTCCTCAAACTCAGAACCCTGCCAGTTCTTCGTTTTCCAAAGGGCTGTGCATCCCTGCATGACCCGCCCCAAGCTGTGTCTCTCTTCTCTGCCACCGCAACCTGGAAAATCATGTCCCTTGGAGTGAACCGCAAGAAGCATCCCAGCTCAACTGCTTGTGGCAGCAGGAAGCAAGCCGCCCATGGCCTTGGTCCTTCTGCCTTTGGTGGGGAAGCCCCAATTTCCAGAAGCTGGCTTCCCAAAAACTCAGCACTGAGCTTGACACAAAGTACAAGTGAAGCCGGGCATTGGTGGCTCACACCTTTAATCCCAGCACTCAGGAAGCAGAGGCAGGTGAATCTCTGGGAGTTCGAGGCCAGCCTAGTTTACAAAGCAAGTTCCAGGGCAGGCTCCAAAGCCACAGAGAAACCCTGTCTCCAAAAAAACAAAAAACAAACAAACAAAAAAAAAAGGATAAGGCCCCAAAGACAAGTTCTGGTTTGGTTCCGTTCCCAACTCCCTCCCCTTCCCACATTCAAACAACAGGTAACAGTGATAACTTGTCTCTGAGCTGTGAGAACACATCCTTAATGCATTCAGAAATACTACAGAGCAGTGGTTTTCAACCTGTGGGTCACAACCCCTCCGAGGGTCAAATGATCTTTTCACAGGGGTCACATATCAGGTATCCTGCACATCAGATATTTTCATAGCAGTAGGAAAATTAGTTATAAAGTAGCAACAATAATTCTATGGTTGGGGGTCACCACAACATGAGGGACTGTATTAAAGGGTCACAGTATCAGGAAGGTTGAGAACCGCTGACCTAGAGTCTTAACTATTATTATCCATCTGTGTGACTTTGAACTTTGATGTCTCTCCCAACTCTGTTTGAAGGGAGGCTCATTAGATGCTTGGGCCACTTCTAACAAATCAGAAATATGGAGTGCAGTTGAGCCAAGGGGGTGTGCAGGTCAGAGAGAATGGGAACTCACCACTAGTTGACTTAGGGTGAGGAGAAGAGAAGTAAACACCAGAACTGCCCTGGGTCCTCCTCCTCTCCTTGTGGCACATTTTGGCCCATGCTGGTTTGTTGCAGGTGGGGGTTTAACCATAGCAGTTACCCAACTCACCCTTCCCAACCTGTCACTCATTGAGCAGTTTCCAAGTCTCAAGGTGAAGTTCATACCACACCTGGTATCCAGACACTCTTGACCCTAGTGTGGTTCCCCAGTAGCCACTGCTCTAAGCTGAGCATTCTGCTGGCAGTCACCATCTCTCAACACATGTGGCCACAGCGGCCCCTTGTGTGTTTCAAGACAGCCTTAGCAGCTACTGTATTTCTTGATGCCAGCCCCATAGCTGCTGCTTCAACATTATCTCCAGAGAGTGGGAAAAAAAGTGTTTAATTCTCTGCCTGCCCGCTGTGCCAAAGCCCAAATTCTAACGAATTCCTTGTCTGTGAGCAGTTTCCTTGCTGTCGAATCATTGAACACTAGATGGCGCCAAAGAGATTACCACCTCTGTAACCAGCAGTTGAGCCGACCGACTCTGCCAGCCAGCCAGCCTTGATCTTTTCCATAAAAATATAGGCTCATCTTCAGGTAGCCATCCAGGCAAAAGGTGAGATGATTATATAAAGGTATAAATTATATCCACCGGTGTCTAAGAAGGCAACCCAATCTTTGCCAAGATTCCCTTCCCAAAGAGCCAGATAGCAGAGACTGCCGTCAAGACCCTCCACAGCCAGCTTTGATCCCCTTTGGAAAAAAAAAGGTCTAGATGCCTCCCCCAGAACACACACCACCACCTGAAGATGACCTGAAGTGTCTCCTGAGATTGAAATTAAAGGTGACTGATAGATGAGACCAAAAATTAAGGGCTTGCAGGGGACCACTGCTCCCCACCTCCTCTCTGCTCAAATGCACCCACACAGGGCAGATGTTGTGATCCAGGCACACCTGTTGTGCGGCCTTCAAGTCAATGAAGGCAGCAGAAGGGGTGCAGGTATGAGCAGAGCAGCCTTGCCCAAAGACTGCTGGTGGGTAGTACCTCCGGGGTGAGTCCTCTGTTAGATTGTGTCAAGTCACAGCCCTTCCCGGGCAGGGCCACCATGGAGGCCTGGTTCCAGGTTATCCCTCGTTGGTGGGCCACTGTTCCAAATGGAGCCAGCAGTCTAAGGGGTCAAGCTCCCCCCACCCCCTGCCGGCCCCCACCCCCGCCCGGCCTGCTCATCTGTGTATACTGGCAGTTAGTGAGGCTGGCGGCCCCAACACTGAGTGAAGATCAAGTTCCCAGCCCAGCTCCACCCACAGCTGAGTTTGCAGACTGTTCGACTGTCTTCTGTGTCTCTCCTAGCTTCTGAGAAGAAACCCCTTCCGGCCAAGCATGAGCAACCATCTTTGAAAGAGTTACGCTGCTGGGGAGTCACACCTTTAATCCCAGCACTTGGGAGGCAGAGGCAGAGGCAGGCGGATCTCTGTGAGTTCGAGACCAGCCTGGTCTACAAGAGCTAGGTTCAGGACAGGCTCCAAAGCTACACAGAGAAACCCTGTCTTGAAAAACTTTTTCAAAAAAAAGAGTTAAGGAAGCATACCGCCCCCAACTTGAGGAAGCAAGCCACCGAATGTGGTCGGGCACACACTGTAGTCCAAGTCCATTGTTGCTGGAAGACAGAACTGTACATTTGAGGTGCCTGGGAGACTGTCTCAAAGGTACAAAAAAAAGAAAAAGAAGCAGGCCTCTGCAATGGGGTGCATAGTAGATGGGACTTAAGGAAGGGGAAACAGGAAGGTACCCGTAAATACGGACTTTCTCCCTGGAACAGGGAAAGAAGGAAAATAAGGACACTGCTTCATTTTATCCACACGTATATAGAGTTCATATGTCAAAACTTTACACCGTGAGTATCATTAACCTCAGGCCCACCTTGCCCTTCCAGATACTTCTATCTGTGCCCAACCCTGTACGCAAACCTGTCAAACAGAGTGGCCACTTCAGACCGCAGTGCAGTACCTGGCCTGCAGGAGAAAGGCCAGAGAGAGTGGAACTGTCCCCAGCACTTGCAGTCTGAGACTAGTCCCAACCAACCCTTGGCTTCTCCCAGTGAGGACAGAGGGACCTCCCCACCCTTAGTTCGTATAAGCCGTCACCTGCCATCACCCCCTGCCATGCTTGCTCTCAGTCTGGTCATGTCTGCAGAGGCTGAGAGCGGACAGGCTGAGTGCCCAGAGGCTCAGGCCCGGGAACTGAGAGTGCCAGGCACGGAGTAGCGCTGGCGGGCGTGCTTCTCACAGTACAGCTCATTGCCCACCCAGAAGTGGCCCCGCATCTTCAGGTTCAGCCCACAGTCTGCACAGGTGTAGCAGCCAGGGTGTCGGTACCTCCCCTCCTGGATGCGGACAGCCTGGTTCCTGCGGAAAGGGGAAGCCATTAGAGTCAGAACACAGGCAGGATAGTTAGGAGGCCCTGGCATGAGGCCACCATTCCCAGGAAACCTGCCAGTCAGAACCTCAGACACAAATACCTCAGGCACCTGACTCGAAAGCCTCTCTCAAGTATTTCACTTTACCCCCAATCAAGAACTACAAAAAAAAAAAAAAAAGGGCCCGACTGATGGCTCATCAGGTGAAAACACTTGCCACAGAAGCCTGGCAACCTGAGTTATCACCTCATAATCGACAGTGGAAGGAGAGAACCAGCTCCCCAAAGCTGTCTTCTAACCTTGACATGTGTACCGTGGTTACTGCCACACTCGTACATACATTCATAATTTTTGACTAAAAGTAACATGAGCTAAACTCATGCCTGTGATCACAGTCTTAGGTAGGCAAGAGTATTTAGTTTGAGGCAGACCCTGTCTCACAGACTGACACACCCGCACACGCCCCCTGGGCAGTGGCTCTCAGAAACTGGCCCTGAATGTAGAACTCATAGCGTCAGCATTACGTCAGCATTACGTCAGCATTACAGCATTACGAGGCAGTGAGATCAGAACGGATACCCTGGGGCTGTTTGTGTGCTCTGTGCTTTACAAGCCCTCCAGGGACAGGGATGCAGGCTTCCGGGAGAGTTTCCCACCTACTTCCCTCAGAATACAGGACACCATCCTGTCCTGCAAATGAGAAAGCTGCAGCCAGCAAAGGCCAAGGAATTGGCCCAAAGTAAGTCACCTGACTAAGCGTTGGCAGTTATAGGGGGAGGCGTACCAGCATTTTTTTTAACCAGAGAGAAGGGCTGCATTATAATGCCACCCACTGAGAAATGAACCCAGGGGCAGGAGAGGGAGAGCTTTTCCAAGAGGAGGGTCGGACGAGCCTCATCCGGGGGCAAATCTCCAGAGGCTTGGGGAATATGTAGGAAAAACCAAAAGTGGTAACTTTTTCATTGCTCTGGGGAGAGGGGAGAAAGTGAGGGTGGGCAGGAAGCAACCAAGTATTCATTCTGAACACGAAGCCACTTGACCATGCTTCTCTCTATGGTCCCCAGCTTTGTCTGAAAGCCCCATGCTCCCCAAGGCACGCTCATCACCCAGCCCTCCGACACTCACGAGATGTTGGCACTGCACTTCTCACAGGTGTGGAGCTTGGGTGGGGTGGCTGAGCCCAAGGAGGCCTGGGGACTCAGCGAGCTGGGCACAAAGGCAGGTGTGCCACCTGGGAGGGGCAGGAGACAGACAGACGCATGAGAGCTGCTTGTCCACCCGCAGAGGTATCCAGCTGCGCTTGGTGGCATTTTATGACATTCCTCAGATCCTCCCTGGGTCACTCCCATACTTGTTGCAAAAGGCGCACTTTCACACGGCCCTCTAACGTACCAGTGGGTAGGCAAAAGGGTAAAGGAGGAAGGTGACCAGGGAAGACCCTGGGTAAAGGCTGATGAGGGGTATGAGCCCTGTCCTTCTAAAGCAACCTGGAAATGTCTGTGCCCAGTGTTTTTCATAAACAGGTAGGTGTTCTCTTTCTGTGAGCCAGTCATGATGATATAAACAGACAGTCCTAGGTCATAACAACATCACAGTGCCTTTGTACAGCCCTTTCAAAGGGCTTTTATTAAATGTGTCATTGCATCTGAGCCAGCTGAAACACAGGCACTGGGCAGCTGTTGTCCAAGCTTCAGCTGAGAGTCTGAGGCACCCATGAAGTGACCCTCTGTTGTACTCTCCCCACCCACCATGACTACCAAACTCCCTGTGGCCTCTCCCTTGGTCTGTGGTGACCTCAGAGTCAGGATGGGAAGGATCTGTCCAAAACTCTTACTCAGCCCCCTATGTTCCAGCAAACAGCTGTGTAGCACTACACATAGCATTTGGAACCGGCTACCAGGAACGGGCCATTCTGTAACTCTCAGCCCTATCCTGCCAGACTCATCCTCTCCATCCTCCCTGTGGGCCAGAGAGTGTTCCCGTCTGCTACTACAAACAAAGTGCCTCGCTCCTGGTTTCCTGAAGGACAGCATCCCTCTTCTCTATCCACTCCCGTGAGCCATATCCCCAATAATTGGAGCTCCTCAGGGGTTGAAGTCGGGTTATGCCTCGATCCATCTGCTCCACTGGATAAACACATCGGTGCGTTTCCAGCGAGCACATGGGCAGCTGGCAGGAGCCTGCTTTGTGTCGCTCAGCTCACAATGCTATCTTGCCTGGCATGATAGCTGATGGCAGAGCGTTCTTTGTTCTGGCTCCCAAGGCCCTTGCCTCAGCAACTTGCTCTCCGTGACACCACCCCATGCTGCCAGGCCAAGCCATTTTCTCTTAACCCAAAGCTCTTTGGTCGCTAGCCTCCACATTCCATAATGCTCCCAGCCAGGCCACTGCCTTAAGGATGTTGGAGTCTTGGATCTTGTTTCAAGGCCAAATCAAATCTCTCTTCTTCCAAGAAGTTGTCCCTGGAGACCCAGCCTAGAGTCACTCCCTTGTCCTGGCTCTGGCTGGTACCACGCAGCACCTTCTAGGGGTACCTTGTACACCCACGCAGAAAATAAACTTCTTTAAAGCAATGTGGGCCTGGCATCTGCTCCCTTAATCCCTAGTTCTGCTATGGGATCTTAAACTACTTCCTCAGTCTGTTTGGCCTCGCTGCAGGGAGTCCGAGGGGCCTTACTTCATCCCAGAGCGTAGAGGCCTCACCTCTCTCCTCAGCCTCCAGGGCTTCCTGCAAGAGCCGAAAGGAGCTGGACTGCCTCGGGGCAGCTCTTCTCTGGCGGTTCTCCTGCAGCATCTTGAACACTTCTGAGTCCTCTTCCAGGTCCAAGCTGCTGTAGAAGAGACAGCTAGGAATGAGGACCCTGTGCCAGAGGGTTGGGACACACCCCATGCAGAGGAGTGTGGAAGGATGCAGGCGCGGAGACTCCCATCCCTGTTAAGGAAGCCAGTCCCCTCCAAACCCTCCAGGAGCTCACCCAACTCTGTAAGACCTTCTGGTACCTGAACCTGGGGCTGGAGGACCGAGGTCCTGGGGAATGTAGCGGCACCCTCACTGCTGAGTTGCTTGGGCTTCTGTGGCCGGTCTGTGGGAGGAGAGCAGAGGGGAGGAGTCAGGCCTAGCCCGCAGTGGCCAGCACGTCCTGTGCATTACCAGATGCTGCTCCCATGATCAACGCTAGGGGGCGCTTGGCCTCCGGTGACCTTGCCTTCAGAGCCAGACACCACCAGGAAGGATGGGGAGAGAGACCACAGCCCAGATGCAGGGATGCTTCAGTTACCCTTGGGGATCCCACGAGGAACAGAACAAGGACATCAGATGGGACACTCCACATAGAGACCCTTTAGATACGTTCCTCACTCTCAGATCATGCTACCTGTCCACAGAGATGTGGCCCACCTCCTATTCCACAGAAGAAACAGAAAAGAAGCAAGCAAGCCTGGAAGCCAATCATTTCGCAATAAGGCCATGAAGATATAAATGTATAAAGGGTTAAGCCCTCCTGGAGCCAGGATGGAGCTGGGCAGGCTCTCAGTGCCCTTCATGTGGCTCTCCTAACAGGGACAGGCTCTAAGCTACCCGCTGCTCCTTCCTGCTACTTTTTAAGTCTGGGCCCACCCTAGCCCTACTGCTACCTCCCAAGCATTATGAGAAAGCTACACTCTACAAGTATTCTCGATTCGTGCATTTGCTATGGACACTGAAACCCCGGCTTCCAACTTCACTGTCCATTCTGAAAGCCTGTTTCCATCTTTGTTTGTTTGTTTGTGTTTGTTTGTTTTTTGGTTTTTTTTTGTTTTGTTTTTTGGTTTTATGAGACAGGGTTTCTCTATATTGTTTTGGAGGCTGTCGGTCCAGCCTGGCCTCGAACTCACAGAGATCCGCCTGCCTCTGCCTCCCGAGTGCTGGGATTAAAGCTTTTTTTGGGTTTTTTAAGATAGGGTTTTTCTGTGTCTTTGGAACTAGCTCTTGTAGACCAAGCTGGTCTTGAACTCAGAGATCCACCTGCCTCTGCTTCCCACATGCTGGGATTAAAGGCATGTACCACCACCGCCTGGCGGCCTGTTTCCATCTTGCCCCATTTTGATCCCCCAATGGGATCTGGAGGAGTCTGAGAAGGGAGCATTAGCAGCTCGTCAGGCTGGGGAACCTGGACTGGGTTAGAGATCCTGGAGTGTTCTTCTAACTGAAATATATCTCCAGTCTTTTGGGTTTCCTTCACTACCATGCTTTAGGACACAGGGCTGGCCCAAGCTTCCTGTGGGTCTGAGGCAAGACTCCATACCCAGGCTCCTAGATGGTTTTTCAGGGCTAAAGAAGGCTTGTGATTACTTTCTCGGAGCCTCAAGAGCAATGCTATGTCTCCAAGCAGGCCAGCATGCCCTGCATTGGACAACAGTCTAGGGGAACAGGAGAGGACTGAATCCTTCCTGCCTAGGCTTCTTCTGGGGCCAAATTCTCATTCCCAGCAAGAAGAGAAGTGTGTTTTTCTTTCTTTCTTTCTTTCTTTTGTTTTTTGTTTGTTTGTTTTTGTTTTTCGAGACAGGGTTTCTCTGTGGCTTTGGAGGCTGTCCTGGAACTCGCTTGGTAGTCCAGGCTGGTCTCAAACTTACAGAGATCCGCCTGCCTCTGCCTCCCGAGTTCTGGGATTAAAGGCATGCGCCACCAACCCCCGGCTGAGAAGTGTGTTTTTCACCTTGTGAACCTGCAGCTTCCAGAACGTCACCTGAGAGGCTAGAGGTATCCTACATCCCAGCTCTTGAGCCTCGGTCAGTCAAGAGCTCATGACCAAAATCAGAGTATCTCTGTTCCCTCCAGCCCACAGCTCTTTCTGGGCAGCCAATAGCATCACCTGCCTTTGCCTCCCCTGTCTCTCCTAGTCAAATGAGAACCCTACTTTCACAGAAGGGATATTTCCTCTCCAAATCTAACAAGCTACTTCCTCATTATCTTACCTTCATGGGTATGCCTCCAGTAAAGCCCTCCAGATGTGCCATGAGACACACAGCAATGTTCACGTGAGTACCAGAGGTGGGCCTGAGAACCGGGAGAAATTCTGTAGGAACCTAATCACAGCAAATGTGCTTCTAGCCTATGGAGCCGCTAAGAAGCTAAAGTGCAGTGTGAGACTAAAGCGCTGTGTGACTCAAGAGGGAAGTGTGGACCCCATGACTCCTGCATCTATCAGCACAGCCTGGGGGGCTAGGAGTTCTGGGTTTTTCCCATGAAGGCATCCCTGAGGGCCCCGAGGGTGCTTGACAAGCAGCAGCTGGCTGAGAGGGAAGGATGAGAGTTCCTCAGGGTCAATCCAGCCCGAGTCTGAAGACCAGAGAGGAAGAGGGCCCTGCTCTGAGTAACACAGCGGCAATGGGACCAGCCAGAGCCTGCCTACCACCTGACCCAGCTCCTTGTTTTAGCACACAAGCTTGTCAAAACACAAGGTCCTGTTCTGAACCCCCATTCCCTCTCTGCAGCAGGTCCAGACTGGGGCCTGGGAATCTGCATTTTCCCATAGGAATTCTCAGAGACTGCTGCTGGCTTGAGAATCACCTCCCAGACCACCAACTCCCATCCCTGGTGTAGGTGGGACCCTACAGGAAGACCTGCCCCTGAGCACCCATGGTCTGCTGGGCCGACAGCCCCTAGGAAATTCTATGGCTAGAAGGCAGGCTTCCACTAGCCCTAGAGTTCAAGGTCCTTTCCAGCTTGGCTCAAAACCTGCCAGGCCTTGCTGGGACCCGTCTCCCCTGCTCCTAGAATTTCAGGTCACTGTATTATCGCTCTCTAATCGAAACCCTACCCCCCAGCCTCCCTCCACTGTCCAGCAAAATTCCTAGCGGATCCTTCCCAGGCCACCCAACCTACTTTTCTCTCTCCCTTTCCAGAATGCCTCCTGCTTTTGTAATTAATCCCACACTGTTTCATACTTAATTGTTTCAAAATTGTTCGGCATGTTTGCCTTATCTCAACAGCCACATCTTAAATTCCTTAAAGATGGGTCTGTGGCCACAGCACCCACCCAGCTGGCCCTGGGGTAGGCATGCAGCCTATCACCACAAGCCCTGCCCCTTCCTTCTCCAGAACCCCCCACACACTTCCTTGTCATCTCCTTACCACCCCCAAAGACCCTGCTCTTTGGAATGCAGAACCCTCTACCCCCAAAAGCCTCGCTCTTTGGAATGTAGAACCAACCCAGAAGTAAGATTCCAGCAGCTGGGCCTTGTCCCCTTCACCCAAAAGGCAGGACATACCCCCTGGCCACTCTGTCCCCAGCAGCTGAGAGCCAGGACTGTTGTCCCTCTCACTATTTCACTGCCTTGCCCTGCCCTTGGGGAGGACAAATACCACCTGGGGGTTAAGCTGTCTACAGTGGTCACAGGGATGTTGGGGATGTGTGGGGGAGGGGTCCTGCAGAGGAAAAAGACTGAAGACTGGCCAAGGGTAGCAAGATGGGACAGAAACACAGTCCCTCAGAGGCTCTCTGGGCTGAGTGGAAGGAGATCAAGCACTGGGGGTGGTTGTTGGGGGCTTGTGACAGAGAGGAATGTCTTTCGGAGATGCAGCCAGCACCGAGAGGGACTCATCCCAACAACAGCAGCAAAACTATTTAAGCCACAGCCCAAGAGAAACACACCGAGAAGGGAGGAAGCCAGCTGGGAGGAGGGGGCTTGAGCGACAAGAGAAACTCCTTTACAAGAAGGGAAGGAAAGTCAAAGAATGCATAGTGGCCCCAGTGCTAGCTAGCCTCTCTGGCTCAGGAGTGCCATGTACCTGCCACAGGGGAATGCTCCCACAGGCTGTTCGGGTATTGCCAGCTGCTGTTAGTGCCAGAGGCGCCAATGGCAGCCGGTAGCATGGGCGCCATCTCCTTCCCTCAAGAAGCCTCACCTGTTGGCTGGTGGGGTGGCCCGGGTAGGGCAAGTGGTGAGGAGCATCAGGGCCTGGTGAATGTGTCAAACTCTGGAAACTGAAATGGGGGGAGGGAGTGATGTGGGTGTAGAACCCACACAGTCTGCCCCAGGGAGGAAGGCAGGTGTGTCCAGGGTTCCCTACACATAACAGCTGAGGCTCTGAAGGCCCAGGCCCACACCTGGTGGCCCATTTGGCCACCGCACCCAACCACTGAGCTCACCTACAGCCAGTCGCATCCTCTCCAGAAACAGCAAATGGACTGGTGGGGCGTGGTGTAGAGAAAGGGCTGCCTGGCCTGGGACTGAGGGAGGTCTGGCTGAAATAGCCAGGGGCCTTCGAGGACTGGCTGGCATGGTGTGTCCTCAGGGAGCCCTGTGGAGAAAGGGGCCAAGGGAAAGAGTTGGCATGACCCTGCTGCCTGTACCCCTCAGGGTACTTGGGGGTACTGGTAGCTCCAGGCTCGATGGACCAGCTTACCTGGAATCTAGCTGCCACCACTTCCAAGGAGCCCTCTCCATTGGTCTGCCCAGGAGAGGCAGGTTGGGACCTGAGGGACAAGAGAGACTGTGATAGAGTCCTAGACATTCCCGTCCTGAACACTGTTCCCAGGCCTGGTTCTCAAGACCAGCCAAGTATCCAGGACACTTGACATTGGACTCTTTGTTAAGTTCAAAACAAATGACTCCCACCAACCACCACAGTCCTCTCCTCAGCCCTGTAATGGAACGACAGTCTCAGCAAAATGCTTAACCTCAACCTATCAGACATGCCTGTGACCCATATCCCTAGTTTCTCCCATTTCATTTAGTCACCAGACAGCCACCTGCTTGAGATCAATTGTGAGGAAGATGGCTAATTCCATACAAACAACTCTTTGTCTTCTAAACTGTGGAGAAACTGAAGCCATAGAAGGAAAGTGAGTTGTCCCAAGTCCCAAAGCCCATCACTGGCTGTACCAGACACCTACTTTCCCCCCGCTGATAGGCTTGTCCCTACCAGCTGCTCTACTAAGGGCCAGGAGCCTTTGGGAAGGTCACTCGGAATCCCTTTCCCAGACTCCTCCCCCAGCAAAACAAGGGGTGGGATCAGGCTTCCCTTCCCTTCCAGACAGGCATCTGGAGGACTTGGAAACTAGGGATAGGAAAGCTCAGCATCCAACCTCCAACCAACAGCAGCAGCCAGAGAGGCTCCTCAGACCCAAGTGGAACTGGCAGGAGCCTAGAGTGGGAGGTCATTGGAGACCAGAGGTGAAGGTGAGGGAGAGGACCCCTTCATCATTACTGTATTCCTGGGCCTCTGATCACTTCTAGCAAGGTTGGCAAGCGGGAGCCTTTGTCTCCCAGGACCAGGGGCAGTGGTACAAGGTCAGGTTGAGGGTGTGCCTGCCTCACAACTTCTGATTGCTTCCTGGAGAGGTAGGAGGAGAGTTGAGGAGAGGTCTTGGCCAAAGAATGAAGACACTCGAGCCTTGGCTTGCCTGGTGCTGAGCTGTCCATGCCCACATCCCCAGTGGCCAGGTTCCTCCAAGAAGGACCTAACAGTAAGCAATGGTGTCAGCTGATCTCCCCCGATTGCAGCCTCCTGTGGATTTTGGTCCCATTCCCAGATGCCATGAAGCCCTCTCCACCCTCCTCCTCTGGGTCTCTCTCCTGCAAACACTCAGGGACAGAATGGCATGAAGAGGGACAGTATCATGCGAGCCTGCCTCTGCAGTATAACCTACCAGCAGGGCCCATGGGTGAGGAGGAGGGCGGGCAGTGGGGCAGAGGCAGAGAGAGAAGCAGAAGACATCCAACTCCTTTCCTGACCTGCCCAGAGAGCCTCGGTCCAAGGAATCTCCCATCATTCCTGAACTATGACTCACTGTGATGTTCCACCCTGAGTAGCCACCTGTCCGTCGTATTACCCCCCACCCCGTTCCCCACCACATATTCAATACTCCTCATGGGTGTAGGGACCTGTGTTCAATGGCAAAGCCCAAAACAGTGATGGGAAGCTCTGTTCCCATCTCTACGTGACTCTACAAAAAAGCCGTCTCTCAGAGACAAGGGCACTGGAGACTCAGCCTAGGGTACACCTTGCCCTGAAGTTTCCTCTCTTCAACCACTTCATGCCCACACCCTGCACCATTCCACACTCCTGGGAACCAGTCAAACCCGGGCTTCCAGGTAGCTGGTGCCAGCTTGCCCCACCTCGCCTGTGGCTGCATGCCCAGCCTGGCGCCCACCTTTACCAGATAGTCACCGGGACACCTTCCTTTTCCCTACCACAGGTCCAGAGCTGAGGACGTCCCACATGCCAAACTAGCCTTGGAAAGCTGGCGTGGGCTACACTTGGGCTGTAGGCTGGGTTGAGGGCAGCTGCCTGGCTGGCAGTGGACAAGAGGAGGAGGGAGAAAGGTGACAGAGGAGGAGGGAGCAAGGTGACAGGAGCAGCCAGTGGAGGTGAAGGCCTACCGGTCCAGCTGCAGTCGCAGGGGTGAGGCACTCTGGCGGATCTTGCTCTGAGCCTCAGCATGCAGCATGCTCTCTGCACTCTCTCCATTGATGGCCACAATGATGTCGCCAGGCCGGAGATCAGCTGCCTCAGCCTTGCCCCGCTCTGTTACCTAGAGGGGTGACAAGCCAGATGCTGGCTGATGAGTCTCTGGTACCCAGTCCCCACCCTGGATAGAAGTGGAGCACAAGGGGCCTCCTTCTGCTGCCCCCAAAATGCAAAAGCAGAACTATACGTCTACCAACTTGTCCTCTGCCTTTCCCATCTGCCAGCTTGCCAGCTGATCCTTCACAGGCTTGAGTGGCACCTCTCCCCTCCAACACACACACACACACACACACACACACACACACACACACACACGTATCCAAACACAGGCCTCCCAAGGAATGTGATGGCAGAATGTCAGGAGCTGGGCTTGGGAATACTTCTGGACAGAGAACTCTGCCCTGCAAATCACACCTTACAGGTGGCTGGCTAAATACTTCCCTGACTATGAATGTTCTCCATCCAGGACCTTGGCCTGAGCCTGGGTGGAAAAGAAACTACCAACCTTCTAAGAGCTTGCAGAAGCGTTCATCCTATATAACCACCCCAACTGGCTGCCAACAGCTGTGAGTTTCAAGACTGCAGGGCAAAGGGCAGGTCCTGTCCTTGCTCTCCTTTCTTTACTTCCTAATGGCCTTCCTGAAGGAGACCTCATATACCCATGGCAACAGGGCACAACTATCCCCCCCCCCCAGCCAACATTGGCCAGAGCAAGCCTAAGGCTCCAGAACAAATTGGGGAAAGTACCCGTGGGGAACAAGGTACCCCTCGTTTTCAGGGGGTAGCTAACTCCTTATCTCAAAAAACAACACAAAAAACCAGCCCATACCTTGGTCACAATGATGGGTGTGTGGAAATCTCTGCCTCCGCTAATGCGGAAGCCCCAAGGTGCCGGCCCCACCACATCCACAGTCAGCGGCATGCCTGGAGAGAAGAGCGGGAGGTGGGACCCACTTCCACGGCACACCCCAAAGAAAAGGGAGAAGCTGGGTGACAGGTCTCGGAGCTACCCAGCAGGGCCTGCGCCTGGGTGGTGGTGGTGGTAGAGGAAGTCACTAAGTCCCTCCCTCTCCGGAGAGTTTCACTTCCCCCACCCTGGGAGGCCTTGATTCTGAGTTCCCCCTTCTGGGGTCTTCGGATCTAGGAGATCCCTAAGAGAGGCAGCAGTCCCTGGCTCGCCGCCAGCCTTCCATACAAGTGCTTGGTGGAGAATGGTGGGAAGGAATTAGCAGGTGGTAGGAGTTATTTGCACCCCGACTCCCTTCACTACCTCAAGGGCTTGTTTCCTGTCCCCAAAACTAAGAGCACAGAGCTACTTCCTGCACGCTCTGTGTAGAGCAGGGCTTTCCACACAGGAGGATACCAAGCCTCGGGGTGGCCCCTCCAGACTGCAAGAAGTTGGCCAGGCCTGGGGCTGGCAGGTATCAGACCAAGAACTTCAGAGGGGCAATTTGGCTGCCTGCCCAGCCCTGACAAGTGGGTTCCGATGAGCAAGAGGAAGCTTGCTACCTCCTCTAGGGGCCTGCTGCCCTCTGAACAGCCTGAGCTAGGAGGCCAGAGCTCATCTGCCAAAGGAGGCACACCCACACCACCCTGGTCCTGGCCAGCAGGGCAAGTTCATGATGCTGCCAGTTTGGCCACAAGCTTCCCATCCACAGCCCCCTCTGCCCCACAAGGGAGTGTCCTTGTGGACCAGGCCCTCCTAGGATTTCCTGAACCTCTAGGTCTGGAGCCAGGAGCAAACCCAGGCAGGAAGCTGCAATGCCAGGCTGGGCACCACCCAGCCCAGCACCCATCCTGAGGCTGTCCCTGGGGAGATAGGGGAGTCAGCAAGTACTGTCCAGTATCTCAAGAACATCAAGGCCTAGTAAAGGGGGTTATCCAAACCAGTTCCACTGTCCTGTCCCCAGGCAACTGTCTTTCCCTTTCACCCAGGCCCTGCCACCTTGCCGCAGACTCATCGCTGAAGTCGGCAACCGCGCTGAGATTCTCAGACCTTTGAGCCGCCGGCCAGTGGACCCAGGGCTGGGAGTGCTGCGGTAATTGCCTAGCGCGTCAGCACAGTTCACAAGCCTTCTTCCCACCACGGCCAAAGTACCCCGGAGGCCCCGGACTGGAGGATGAGAGTCCGGGTCAAAGGCGAATCCAAGCCACCCGGTACCCAGGCCGAAGGGAGGCTTCAGGGAAGAGGAGCTTTGGACCGAGGGTAGGGTCCGCAGAGACGGAGATCCCCGAGGGCGGTGGCCCGCGGAGGGTGCAGGTGGGCGCGCGCTCACCTGGCTGCCGCCCGCCTGTCCGGCTGGGTGGCCAAGCCCGCCGGGAAAGGGAAGGAGGGAGGGGAAAAACGGAGGGAGTGAGGACGAGGAGCCGCCGCTGTTCCACCGCAGCCGTCTGTCCGACTCTAGGGAGAGCTCGCCCGGGGCTCCGGGACCTGCCTCCGCCCATGTGATCCCGGGGCCGCCCCTGCCGCCGCCCCTGGCCCGGGAAGCCGCCGCCTCTTTGCTGCCGAGCCGGGGCGCCGCCACCTGGCTCTTGCGGGGGAGCTGGGCGTGGGGGGGAGGGCAGTAGACTCTCCCTGAGCCGCCTCTAGGCTGAGACCCTTCCGAGGTGCCGGCATCTCCGGACTGTCCTTGAGTACAGGGAGCGATTCAAATAATAGACCCTCACCACCATAAACAGGCATTTCGTACCACCCCACAATAAGAAAGGGGACTGCGGCATCGAGGGCTCTATCAGGCGACCGCTGGCTTGGTGGATCTGTCTGTGGTCCGTCCAACTCCTCCGCCCACTCCTGGCTCCGATGTTGGCGCAACTGCCTACCCGATACCCACAAACTCCAAACCTGAGCCATCCCTCCACCCTCCTATCTGTTCCCGGGCAGACAGACGCCCCACCGATGGCTGTCTACTGCCAGGGTAGTGACTTAGCCTCAGATACCTCGCAAGCCAAGCCTGCCCTAAGCAGGAAGGCATGCCCAGACCCAGAGAAGAGCGCTTGGCAGGGTCACCAGGCTGTCATGGACTAGCTCCAACCATCACCAAGGACCCTGTCTGTCCCACCCCTTCCACCAGGCTCCAGGACTCAGAAAAACGGAGCAAGGGAGAAGGGGGCAGGTGCAGGTCCAGGAAAGAGGAGCCATCTGGCCAGAGGGGCCCCCAGAGCTATACCTTGCAACCCTTGCCCTGGGGAGTTCGGGGCCCACGCAGCTGCCTCCTGCCTCTTCAGTTGCTCTTACAACTTGGCACACCGAGGAGCACACCTGTGGACACAGCTGTAACCTGCCTGCCTCAGGTGTGAGTCATTCTCTCCGAGTTCCCCAAGAGGATTGCCCTCGCCACTCTCACCATCCTCCTCACCCACACAGCGCTCTGCGTGTGGGTCATAGTCCCCGCAGTGCCCATTCTGCCAGCCTGTCTCCAGTCACCTCCCGGGCCCCACCTCCTACAGCTACCTCTTGGGCAGGTAAATGGCTCTACCGCAGACGATCCAAGGGGCCATCTCTCTGCTGCACCTGCTCTCCCTCCCCAGCCTTTTATCTTTGTTTGTTTTGGTACTGGGGATTGAGCATGGGGCCCTAGCCCTGGATGTACCCCCCATTTAAGCTCCACCCTCAGCCCCTGGAAACCTCTTGAGCAGGTGGCCTCAGAGCAAGCCCTGCCTTGGGGTCACAGTGCCACAGCTGCCTTGAATTGTGTGATGTTGGGCAGTGCGCTGTTTAGGTTTTTGTTTTTGTTTTTTTTTTGTTTTTGTTTTTTTGTCAATGCGACACAAACTAGAGTTATCTATTAAGAGGGAACCTCAACCAGGAAATTGTTCCCCCAGACTGCCCTGTTAGCTTGTCTGTGAAGGCATTTTCTTGGTGACTGATTGATGCTGGAGGGCCCAGCCCAGTGTGAGTGGTTCCATACGGACTGAGCAGGTGGCCCTTCGTGGTGTAAGTAGAGCAGGCTGTGCAGGCCATGCAGCGCAAACCATTAAGCAGTGTTCCTCCATGACATCTGCTTCGGTTCCTGCCTCGAGCCCCTTTGATGATGGACTGTGATGTGGAACTATAGGCTGAAATAAACCCTTTCTCCCAGAGCTGCTTGTGCTCGAGTTCTATCACAGCAATAGAAACCTTATGACTGTTTCATCACAGCAACAGAGAAAGACAACCAGGACAGGCAGTTTCCACAGCTCGTTGGGGCTCCAGTTTCTCTGTCTTACCCCCTGCTATGCAGATGGTTTCCCATAGGAGAAGTTCAAGGATTACGAAGCATAAAAGTTGAAGGATGCGGTAGGGAGGGGAGTCAACAGAAAAGAATTCACTTCATTCCATCCAATCAATGATTCAAACAATATTCATCAGCAAGTCTTTATTGAGCGCAGGCTACACAGGTTCATCTGCAGGCCTCCCTGCTCCGGATGGAGTATCCACAAATCCACCTACCAAGTCAGCTGACCAAGGGGCATGGCCCTGGCATGCAGCAAGGACCTGCCCTGCTCTAGATGGTTCTGGGTACGGGGGGCAAGTCACATCCTTCACCTGTTGCATGGGTGGGCCACTCCAGGAGCTTCAGATTCTCTTCAGCAGGCCAAGGTGTCAAAGTGGCTGTCTCAAAGGCCTGCCTAGTGACTGTGAGAGCTTCCAGGGCCCTCATCAAAAAGAAGGTTTGTTTTCTGCCCAGGGAAAGAGTTTCAACCCTGAGATGTTTCACGACGGCAGCAAAGAACATAAAACAAGCTGGGATAAAGGATGAAAAGCAGGCTAGCTGAGCTCTAGAGAGTCATCATTTCTAGGCAATGGGCGGGACTTGCCAACCTAGACCCAGGACAAGATGAGCCCTGGGTGCAGCAACTGAATGGAGGAGGGCATAAGGGCACGCAGGTCTCGTTCTGCAAGCAGCTGTTTAACCACCCTGGCTAGAGTCCAAGCCACACCCAGGCTCAAGGAACCATCCAGGGCCAGGCGGCTGCCCTATGCACTTGGGCTTTCCCCTATCCTGACAAACCAGGCACATCACTCTTCATGTCAGTCACCAACTCTACCCACTTGCCCCGGGGAAGGACACCTCAAGTGACAGGCCAAGGAGATGGGAGTACCAGGGGGAGAGCCAGGAAGAACACAGAAGCAGCCCAACCCTAGGCCACCCCAAAGTCATCCCTACGTGACTGTCCTCCGCCGGGGGCCTGTGGACAGGGACTGCCACGGCACATGGTAGATCTGACGAGGGTCAGCTGACTCCAGCCTCCAGGAAGGAGGCGGCCTCTGAATTTCTGAGCTCCTCCCCTATCGAACAGGTGTACTGGTTAGGATGGGTGACACAGGCGACGTCTTACTGCCTGCTCAACAGTCAGCTACAGCCTAAGAATGGAACTTCCAATCAGTGGGTGTGGTTGGCTGTGGTGGAGGCTGAAGCAGGAGATTTACCTCCAATTCCAGGCCAACCTGGGTCACAGAGTCAGACTCTGACTCAGCGAGAAAGAGAATGGCGTTTTCCTTTTCTGGAGGAAAGGCCAGGTCCAAGCTGTGCTGATGTCCCCAGAGGCCACCAAGCCTTGGGTGAGAAGTTCCTTTGGCTACCTCTGCCACGCCCATTCCTGGCTTCTCTAAACCGAATGCTCAAAAACTTGAACCCAGAGAAGAAAAACATGAGAGTTTGGTGTGGAAACGGAGCATTAGTGGGGAACGGTTAGAAATGTCATCAAGTTCAGCAACCGCGTGGTAACAGCGCCAGCATCGAGAACACGTATCAGTCCCCAGCTCTGGACTCTCCCGTCAGGCCCTGCCCTGTCCCTGCTGCCCTAGCCCTCTGCCCCTTGGTCAGACACTTGGTCCTTGGAACTGTTGCACTCTGTCTGTCAGCTCTGCTGAGACAGGCGACAATGGTGACTTTACTCCTTTCCTCCATACAGGCGGCCCAGCTACCTCGGGGCACAACCCACGACAGACAGAAAACCCACAATCCTAAATGGGCAGAGTCCTCCCCATCCCCTTACACGCCCCCAAAGGAAAATGATTCAGACATGTCCCTGGTATCCATGTTTATTTTACATTCTCTTCCAGAGGGCACCTAGATACCGGGAAGAGCTGGAAATTAGGGCAGCAAGCATGTTTCCCTGTAGATCTGTCTTCTGATAGGTCAAGGGCAGTTGTGGGCCTTAGTCGGGAGGGCCCAGAGTGTATGTGGAGGCCCTACCCAGGGGCTCAGTAGCCCCTTGAGGCAAGGCCTCTCACTGGGCCTTGAAGGCTGACAAAGTGTTCCCTTGCTTCTAGGCCCAGCTGGAGGCAGGCAAGCCGGTGAGAAATGGGAGGAGGCCTTTGGTCTCCACAGGGTAGGAAGCCGGTCCTTATTAGAGGAACCCCATGGGGGTGAAGCGAGAGCCAGTCTTCATTAGGGGAAACGCTGGGGAGGTGGGGGTCTAGGGGTCTGGTCTCAATAAGGCCTGGAGACAGCCTCCACATCAGAGCAGATGTCTGTATTTGCGGGTGGTGAGGGGGGCTGTCAAAGGAATGCCTGTGACTCGCGGGTGGCAATCAGTCCAGGGGACTTCGAGGGGGCTCAGAGGGAAGGTTGCTAGGGTTTCTGCAGATGCTGGGAGCACAGGTCCTGGGGGGAGGATGTGGGGGGGCCTCTCTCACTCCCATAATGCTACTGCTCCTCACCCCATTCTCGTTGGCTCCAAATTGCCATGGAGACCACTCACACCGGGGCTACATAATTTCCAGGGAATGTCCCAAATTTCTGAGTTCTCCGGGAGACACCTGAAAAAGGAGACAGGTTACACGGGTTAGGGAGCGCCCTCCTCTGACAGTACCTGGAACTGCAAGTGGAATCAGGTTCTGGGGGGCGGGGGTCACGGGACGGGGACGACGTGATTTCCTCTCCTCATTCCTGCCCCCTAGCGGCACAAGCTTAGATATGCAAAGCTGCACCTGTAAACCAGTCATTGAAGACAACTTTGCACATAGCACTAACTCCATGCTTCATCGAGAAAACGAGGAACCGGGAAAATGAATCACAGATCTATGGGGTGGAGCACTGCGATCTAGGAGAATACCTAGAGATGGGCGCTGAGCTGCCTAGGGGGGCGCTGGGACGGTAAACCAGGCTTCTTGGCCTGCTAAGACCCCCAGAGAAGCATGTGACCTGGGGTGAGGGAGGGGATGTACTTGAAGTGCACTAGTACGAAGGGGCTGGGCCTCCCATTTTCTTTCTTTTTTAACTAACCTACACGTAAGCGGCCACATGTGGCTACTGAATACTGTACCAGATGGCACAGGTCCAAGCCGTTCCCCATGGCATTATGGCTTCTACCACAGAAAGGGTGCTTTTTCTTCTTACCTATACAAGTCTACAAAACTTCATTCATGGTATAAAAGAAATGCAAAAGCCAAAGTGCACGAGTAAAATGAGAAGCGAGGGCCGCTAGCCTCTGTGGCGTGAGAAGCATGGCTGGCATTGAGCCACTGGGAATCATTAGAAAGAGGATCTATTATCGAGGGTCTTTTCCTATGACACCCCTGCCCAGGCTATGCTTCAACCCTCTGGGCAAAGTCTGCTTGCTAGGAGGCAAGGCTTCTAGCTGTTCATTTCTCTCCCTGGCCTGTCCTTCCTTTCTTTCTTTCTTCCTTTCTTTCTTTCTTCCTTTCTTTCTTTTTTTTTTTTGGTTTTTCGAGACAGGGTTTCTCTGTATTGTTTTTTGGACCATGTCCTGGAACTTGCTTGGTAGCCCAGGCTGGTCTCGAACTCACAGAGATCCGCCTGCCTCTGCCTCCCGAGTGCTGGGATTAAAGGCGTGCGCCACCACCGCCCGGCTTCTGGCCTGTCCTTTCTAGCCAAGAGTATACACGGCTTGCACACCCTGGGGGGTCTAGTGAGTGGGCCACCTGTCACCAGACAAGGTCAACATGTGGCTTTGGGTCTTAGTCCTTGAAGTGCAATGTCTTGGGGCATAGAGAAGGGCTGAGACATTATATTGTTTCCCAGGTTGTGGGAGCGGGCGGGGACAGGGTAGGAGACCCTGAATGCCACACCTGCTTGAGGAAGCCGTAGTATGCGGAGAGAAGGAACGGGGGTCCTGACCCAAATGTGACGGAGCACACACTGAGGCAGTTTTCCCCGGGCCTCGCTTCTCTTCAGGACAGAAGGTAGGTGGGGGTGTTGGCTATGAATCTTAACTGACTTGGCACTGCTATTCAAGTCTCCAGGGAGACCCTAAGATTCTTCTTTCTGGCCTGCCCGCCCCTCCACGGGCTACATACCCACAAACCAGCCATCATCACATTGTTGCATGACATCCACGCGGTCCCCCTCACGAAGTTCCAGCTCATCCTCATTCTGGGGCCTGTACTGGTACATTGCACGGTACCTGTGGGAGATGGCAGCATAGCAGAGGCCTTAGACTCCTTCCCAAACCCGCTGGTAGTTCTGTCAACAGTTGTCACTCCGGGTACCCTCTCCCCATCACCTAAACACCAAAGACGAGTTTTACTTAGGAGTTCCCCCAACCGATAGGTGAAGGCAAGCATCCTGAGCTGGTACTCACGGAGTCCAGTGTATCTCTGTGGTGCTTGGGGAGGAGGCCCCCACGTCTACGGGACGGCTGGTGCCTCGAGGGTGGGACAGGGCTGGTCCAGGAGTGCTGAGATTCTGGGGGTTCATGGGAAGAAAGGAGAGCCATAAAGAGAAGGTGTGAGGGAGGAGGAGGAGTCTTGAGTCCCACAGAGGCCGACGAGCAGTTTCCATGCCGTTTCATCAAACCCTCAGACCCAGGAGGGTGGGCTCTGACTAGCTCGCTTCAGTGGCACTGGGCTGTGGGCCCAGGCGCCAAGCAGGGTGAGTGGCTGGACTTGTGAGCACCAGGACATAGCAGGTCCAAGGAGGAGCCAGGAGCAGCTGTACCTGCTCAGAGAGGCACGCTGCGTGAACATGTGGACCCTGGGCCAAGTACACAATAAAGGACTGCCAAGCGCCTTTGCTGGGACCTAAGAACTAATCTCATCCAGTGGGATCTGTTAGCTTTTCTGCACAGGGAGACTCAAACCCAGAGAGTACAGGCCACTTGCTTGTGGGCCGCACCACAAACAACACCCTGGTACCTGGCACTACTTGCCGAAGACATACATGGAAAAAGTGGCATCTTGGAGGCTCAGGAGGTCTGGCCCTGTTACCCCAGTCGGCTGGTGCGCTATCTAGAGCCAGGTCCTGCCCATGCCTTCCTGAGCAGGACAATCAGAGATTAGAGCAACCTCAGGGGGATTCGGGTCAAATCAAGATTCGGCCCTGCTAGGCTCTGCCCGGCCCTCCACTGTTTGTTCAGAGGCTGTCCAGGAAGGATTACCAATGTGGACCAGTGAGAGGATAAGGAAGCGGTGTGAGACTCGGGCCACCTCACCTGGGTTTGGGATCTGGGCTCCTGGCGGGTGATGGGGAAGGAGAAGCCAGAGCGGCGAGGGGAGGACCGACCTCCCCAGTCAGTGGAGTCCACTTGCACTGAAGGGGAGCTGGGGTGACTGGGTAGGCGAGCCGTGGCTGTCAGATGAGGTGATGTGGGAAGCTGGGGGCTATCGTCACAGAGCCGCAGCCGGGGCTCCCTGTTTATCTGCACATAGCTGGCCGGGAAGATGCCTTGGCGTCCTGTGCCGGTGATGCGCCCCTCGTACCAATGCTCATTCACCTTGCGGATCAGGCAGATGTGTTCCCCCTGAGGGTTAGAGAGGAATTTGTGTCAGCTGGGATTCCTTGGGCATCACATACCTGAGGGTGGCTTACCAGGGTTATCTCCTTCAGACCTAACACTTTACATGATTGCGGGACCAGGCTCAGAAAGGGTCAGCAGGTTACTCAAGGTCACAAAGCTAAAAATGAAGGAGTCTGGAAAAATGGAAGACTAAGCTCTTCTCGTAGCAGGCAGACTGGGCTTTGATCAGGTTTTACCCCTGGTGGGTTCATAATGCTACAACCCATACCTCCAATCACAGTGGGGACCTTGGCTAATTACATAGATACAAACCCCAAAGCCAAGTCCAAGCTGTGTGGCCTTGGGCAAACTGTTCTGCCCCTCTGAGCTTGCTTTCCTCATGTGTTAAGTGGGATAACCAACTACTATTGTTACTATGAGACACAGAATCAAGGGTACAGATCTTAACATGCCGCCACAACTCGGTCCTGGCCCTGACTCACGTGTCCTGTGACCTCTCCCATGGCAGAAGGCTTTCTCAGGTCACATACTAATGGAGGCTGGGGGTAGAGCTGCCACCACTTAGCAGGCTACTCGCAGGAAGGTGCCCCCACCCTCCAGTCCTCTCCTGCCCAACCACCCAGCCCACCTCCTTCCCTGTCCATCTCTGGAACCAGTTTTTCTGTAGCCCCCCCCCCAATTCAACCAGAAGGCCAGTTCCTCATCTCATAGAAACTTCTTACTTTCTTCACCATAACCCAGCACAAAACACACACGTCGGTGACATCCCAGAAGCCACATACACAAATGTATATGCATATATAAGGGCCTCATGATACAGTACGCTCTACACACAATATTTCTATTGCTTTCAAAATGTAGATTATGATCCTCATGGCCTGCAGTTAATAAAAACACAGTGCTAGGGTCAGGCATGATGGCTCATACCTGTAATCCTAGTATTTGAACAGCTGAGGCAGGAGGACTACAGTGAGTTCCAGGCTATCCTGGTAGGCCAGCCTGGATGACAGAGTGAGACACTATTCATAACGTTCCTTCAAAAATGGAATAAATTGGCTGAGCCATGACACAGGCCTATAATCCCAGCTACTTGGGAGGCTGAGGCAAGAACGTCAAAAGTTCAAGGCCTTGGGCTGGAGACAAGCTCGGTGGTTAAGAGTATCTGATGCTCTTGCAGGGGACTGGACTCCATTCCCAGCACCCACACAGGGGCTCACAACCTTCGGTTACTCCTATTTCAGGGGATTTGGTGCTTGCTTCTGACCTGCATCACACACACACACACACACACACACACACACACACACACACACACGCAGGCAAACCACTCATACATATAGAAAAAAGTCCAAGGCCTACCTAGGCTATTGAGTGAGTTCAAGACTAGCCTGGGATATAGAGTGAGTTCAGGGTTAGCCTGAACTATAGAATGAGTTCAAGGCCACCCTGGGCAACTAAACAATACCTGTCTCAAAACTAAAAGTAAAATGAGGGCCAGGCAGTGGTGGCACACACCGAGAGGCAGAGGCAGGCGGACCTCTGTGAGGTTGAAGCTATCCTGGTCTATATGGTGAGTTTCTGGATAACCAGGGCCACACAGAGAAATAGTCTAAAAAAAAAAAAAAAAAAAAGAAACCCACAAGGGTTGTAATAGAGAACTTGCCTTGTGTGGACAGGGCCCTCAGTTCAGTCACTAGTACTGGGGTTAAAAAGAAAAAACAACAACAACAACAAAAAAGCAAAAACAAAAAAACAAAAAACCAAGAATAACCTATTCAAGAGATTAGAAAAACCAAAATTCTGGGTATAGTTGACAATTTTTAAAAACTGTTCATTTCATTTTAGCCAGGCGGTGGTGGTGCACACTTTTAATCCTAGCACTTGGGAGGATCTCTGTGAGTTTGAAGCCAGCCTGGTCCAGCACAGCCAGGGCTGCACGGAGAAGCCCTTCTTTCTGCAGGATCGCCTTTGTTTTCCTGTGTCCCACTCTACCACACCCCGCCTGGCCTCACCTTCCGGAAGGACAGCTCCACCTCCAGTTCTCCCTTGAAGGTGTACTGGGCCACAGCATCTCCGTACTCCAGCACCTGGTATGTGGGCGGTTTGATGGGCTTGGGGATTTCGTCTGCAGGCAGCACCTGCCGGGAGGTCGTGAGAAAAGCTTAGACCACATATTAACCGGATGCAAACCTGTGCTCCTGGAAGAGGGAGCACACAGAGGGCACCATGGACAAGGCTGCCCCCAGTGAGACGTCATACCCAGACCCTGACAGCCTTGGAGGCGGCAGTGTGAGGACAGGCTCTGTGACGTGCGCCATCCGAGCAGGCTTCCGGTGGAGACTTCACATGCAGTGATGCGTGATAAGACAGGCAGAGAGGACGGCGAATGCACAGATAGAAGCCAGTCTAACTATAGCCTTAAGCTGGGCCACACAAGCAAATGAAAGTGATACAGGGTGGTGGCTGGAATAAGAATACCCCCCATAGCCTCATACAGCTCAATGATTAGTCACCAGGGAGTGACACTATTAGAAAAGATTAGAAGGATTAGATGATGTGGCTTTGTTGGAGGAGGAAGGTTTCCAAAGCCCAAGCCAGGCCCAGTGATATTTCCTCTTCTCTGTCTCTGTCTCTCTGTCCCTCTCTCTCTCTCTCTCTGCCTGTCGTCACTCGGGGTATACTTCTCTGCTACTGCTCCAGCGCCAAACATGCCACCATGCTCCCTGCTGCGATGACAATGAACTCTAAAATTGTCCCCCCCGAGACAGGGTTTCTCTGTGGCTTTGGAGGCTGTCCTGTAACTAGCTCTTGTAGACCAGGCTGGCCTCGAACTCACAGAGATCCGCCTGCCTCTGCCTCCCAAGTGCTGGGATTAAAGGCGTGCGCCACCAATGCCCGGCGACCTCTAAAGTTGTAAGCAAGACCCCGATGCTTTCTTTCATAAAAGTTGCCTTGGTGATGGTGTCTCTTTACAACAATGGAACAGTGACTGAGATACACAGTCCAGGGGTCTCATTCAGGTTTGTTTTCTCTGCCAGCTAAAGAATTAAAAGGAAGGAAAAATCTTGAGCGCAACAGGCAGCAGCAGAGAGATCTCAGGATCACAGACAGATCCGGCAGTTGGAGAAAGGTGTTTACTGGGGGTGAGGAAGCACACACATGCAGCAGACACACAGGAGAAGACTTTCTGCAAAGCGGAGGGGGAACTCAGGAAGCAAAAAATTCCAGTCTCTTCTGAGGGCTGGGGTTTTTAAAGCCTCTGAAGGCCCTTCCTCCCGATTTAGGGTTGGTCTGTTGGAAGAAAGAGGACAGTTGACTGGCCCACAACTGTTGTGTAACACACATCCCGATCAGGCATGAACATGTTGAGTCAGTCCATTAGTAGGGGGTCTGCTGGTAGGACACGAGGGCTTATAAGGCCTTTGTTTGAAGTTTCCAGGCTTTCATGGACCTTCTACCTGTCTGCCTGCCTACGTGGAAATCAGTCTAACCCCTAGGCTCTCAAAGGGTTCTGAGCAGCAGAGTAATTTGTTTTGAAACTGAAAATTTATGTATTTATTATTATTATTACTTTATTATTACTTGTTTGTTTTCTCAAGAGAGGGTCTCACTGTATAGCTTTAGCTGTTCTAGGACTCACTCTATAGACAAGGATGGCCTCAAACTCACAGAGTTATACCTATTTCTGCCTCCCAAGTGCTGGGATTAAAGGGATGTGCCACTAAGCTTGGCTCAGTTTGTCCCATCTCTTACTACTGTTGAGTGCCAAGTGGTCCTTGGTTCAACTGTCTTAGTCCTCTTCCCCTTCGGTCCCACCAGAGCTCTGAGTCCCCATGCTTTCTTGGTTGACCCTATTCATAAAAATCAGTAAGCTAATCGACCATCTTCCATTGAGCTGTAGATGACTGATGGACTAGATGGCTGTCTATACTGACTAAAACTTCAGTGAAAACAGAGAGATTAATGTATGGGTAGGTCGCCGGGCGGTGGTGGCGCACGCCTTTAATCCCAGCACTCGGGAGGCAGAGGTAGGCAGATCTCTGTGAGTTTGAGGCCAGCCTGGTCTACAGAGTGAGTTCCAGGACAGCCTCCAAAACAATACAGAGAAACCCTGTCTCGAAAACCCCCCCACAAACAAAACAAATGTATGGGTAGGTCAATCTGTAACGCCTGTTAAAGCGAGAGCCCAGATTACAACAGCTTGCCCAGTTATCAAAGGAAAATCACAAGGAAATGAGAAAACAGTACATTAAACAACAATAATAACAGTAATAATAATAAGCACAATTTGGTCAGGATTGATGGCACACATCATTGATCCCAAGTACTTGGGAGGCAGAGGCAGACAGATCTGTGAGCTCAAGACCAGCCTGGTCTACATAGTGAGTTCCACACCATCCAAGACTAAATAATAAGATCCTTGGCTCAAACGAAACGAAACCAAGAAAGCTACAATTTGTGCAATGCAGCTAAAACAGTATTTAGATGGAAATTTATAGTATCAAATACTACTATTATCAATCACTAACATGAGTCAGAAAGATCATCATCCATTTGAGGCCAGCCTGGGCTACCTAGAGAGTTCCAGGTCAGCCTGGGCTGCTATGCAACTCTTGTCACAGGAAAAGAGAAAAAAGAAGAAAGGCTAAACTTGCGCTCTGACAAACTAAACAAGGAAGGTAAAAAAAAAAAAAAAAAACCAAAAGAATAAAGATGGAATTGAAAACAAAAATAATAGGGAAAAAGTAATAAAAGCTAGTTGAAAAGTCTGAGGAAATAAATATGCAGCCAGAATAAAAGAATACACAATTCCAATACCAGGAATGACAAGCCAGTCATTACAGACATTCCTAATGTTAAAGAGAGAATGGGGCCAGGGAGAAGGTAGCAGAAGCCCGATGGCCTGAGCTTAGATCCCTAGAGCCCATGTAGAAGTCAGACGAAGAGCCGAGCAAACAGGAGACCCTGGCTCAAGGTGGAAGGCGAGGACGGACACCCCAGGTTTGTCCTCCGACCTCCAGATGTGCACCATGGCATGTTTGTGCCTTTACATAAAAGTACATTCGCACGCATAGAAGAATACTTTTGTTGGTTTTTGGATTTCTCTGTATAACAGTCCTAGCTGTCCTAGAACTGACTTTGTAGACCAGGCTGGCCTTGAACTCACAGAGAGCCACCTGCCTCTGCCTCCCAAGTGCAAAAATAAGTATTTTTAAAATATAAGGGAATACTATGGACAACTTTATGCCAGAGGTTTAGTCTGATACACAGATACTAAAAATAACCTATAGGTCTTAGCTTGCATTTAGAATATGACTCAACACAGAATCTCCATCTATAAAGTGAGATAATTATCACTGCCCAAGCAGCATGAGGAGCAAACAGGTAACACACCTGAAAGAAGGGACACATTTACAGGCGAACTGCCACTCACACATTCTAGCTGGCTGAGATCAGTATAGAAAGACAGGCTTCATAGTTAAAATCTGGGACAACAATGAGACAGTGCCTTCTGGGCAAGGAGCTCTTCACCTTCCCCTGGCCTGGGAGACAGATGGAGTAGTCCTGAACCAGGTGATGTGTGCAGGCCAAAGACATTCAAGAGAGACAGCCTGGGGCCGGGGTGGTGGTGCATGCCTTTAATCCCAGCACTCGGGAGGCAGAGGCAGGTGGATCTCTGTGAGTTCAAAGCCGGGCTGGACCGACAGCCTCTAAAACAATACAGAGAAATCCTGTCTCGTAAAACCAAAAAAATTAAAAAATTAAAAAAAAAGAGAGCCAGCCTGGACCCTCAAAGTCTGCCAAGAAACCTGGATCTGTCATCTAAGTCTCTCTCAAGCCACAGAGCCTCCCAGCCCGCTTGCCCTATCTCGCTCTCTCACCTCCACATAATTGGCCGGGAAGATGCCCAGGCGGCCATGGTGTTCCCCCTCCAGCCAGTTCTTGTCCACTTCTTTATGGATGTAGACAATGTCACCCTTCTGCAGAGTCAGCTCCCTGCAGGTGAGAGCAGTGTGCGCGGGCACCAGGTTCCTGAGCCTTCCTTCTTCAGACCCTGCCCTGCCCACCACTCCCCCTCCAGCCTCCTGCCCACTAAAGCCCTACCCTTCCCTACAGGCTCCCAGTGCAGGCTGCCCAGGCTGGAAGCAGAAGAGCTGAGAAGGCCACTTACTTGGGGGACTGGGCCTGGAAGTCAAACTTGAGCCGGGCAGCCTTCTTCTGGGAAAGGGAGACGGCAGGACAGAGTGGGTTACCTCAGCCAGACGGGGTCCTGCCCAGACACTCCCTGACCCCTGGCCCTGGGGACTCTCTTACCTTCTTCTCCTCCTTCCTCGCAGGGCTGCTACCCCTTTCAGAGGCACTAGGCTCTGTGGAGAAGCACCACCTCAGCTTGAGGAGGCCATGTCTGGGGGGTCGGGTTGGGATGCGTTATGCTCCCCCACCCAGGTCAGGCACAGGGAAGCAAGGACTCTGTGACCTTCCTGGCCCCCGCCCTCCCTTTCCTGGGGCAGCACATAATTGTAAAAGAACTTCCTGAGCAGGTAGAAGGCTGTTCAGTGCCAACAAAAACAGAGTTTGTCTTACCTCGGGCTGAGGAAGGGTAGACAAAATCTCTACGTCCCAGGAAGGGGCTTCCTCCTCCATCTGCCATTCTGTGGGGGCTCAGGGATCGGGAAGAACCGAAGTAAGGTGCATGCGGGGAGCTGGGCCTCCAGGCTGAGGCAGTGCTGCGGGGACAGAACAGTGAGTCACCTGTCTGGAACTCCCTATCCCTCAGGGCTAGTCCTCATACCTTACTGACCGCCCAGGCCCTCCCGCTCCCCTTCCTCCTGTCGGTCCCCTGCCTCCCAAGGCGTCTTCCCAGGTCGGGGACTCTCAACAGGATGTCCTACTTCCCGTGCAGCAGAGGGCCGGGAAGGGTGAGGCCTTGGGTTAGGAGAGGAGAAGGCCGCCCAAGGAACAAGGGAAGTGTCGGGGCTCGGGTCCCACTCCCGCCACCGCCGCCACCCCCACCCCCAGTGTCCTCGGCTTGGGGCAGGTGGCCCTCGGGGAATGAACAAGCCCCTACAGAGCTGCGGTTGGGACGCCCCTAGGCCACTTTCCCGATCTTCAGGCCCCTCCTCTGAGGTTCGCCCGTCCCCCATCGTGGGCAGGGCCATCGCCCCCTCGCCGGCTCGCGCCACGTCCCCTCCGCGGGGAACAGACCCTCTGCTCCCGCCTGCGTCTCTGCCACTCACCGGGCGGAGGGCCGCTGCTCTGGGGCTGGCTGCTCAGGGGACCGTCGTGGTGCCTGCGAGTTCTGCACGGGGGACACCGGACGTGATCAGAGCTTGGGACCCCGGGCCAGGGCAGCAGAGGCCAGTGCTGCCACCTCCTCCGGAAAAGTTCGCGGCTTGGGAGGGAAGGAGGCCAGGGAGGGGCGGGACGCGGGGTCCTAGAGGCGCCCGCGAGGCTTTGCGCAGGGAGGAGGCACAGAGGAAGGAGGCTGGCCCGGGAAGCCAGGGCCGGGTCGGGTCTGGGGGTCCCTGGGGCTGCGACTAGGGGTGTGGCCATGCGGGGTGGGGGTTGGGGGTAAGAACTGATTCGGAGCTGGCCGGGAAGGGTTCTTAGGGGTCACTTAGAAAGTCGACGCCCAGTGTTTTGAAGATCTGGCAAGGCTGAAGTCCGCCCAAAGCCGCCCGTTCTAGTTCTGCCTGCTTTCCTCTGTCCCCCGCTGCTACGGCTAAAGCCTTTCCTCTTGAGGCCCTCTGGAGGCTGGTACCTTGGGGGATGGCAGACGGGTCTCAATGGCCCGCAGGTCCTTGTCCAGCTCTGCGCTCAGCTTGGCCAGTTCTCTCTCTAGCAGGACCTGGGGGATAAGATTCTCTTGGGACGCGCACTGTGTTGGAGGCTGGTCAGAGGTTAGAAGTGAGAGGCTGGCCCAGGCAGCCCTCGGGGAGGGGACCAGGAGCGGTTTCAATGCCTGTAGGCATGCTTCAAGAGTAGTGGGAAGAAGTCACTGGAGTCGCCAACCCAAGATTCCAGTCTTTCCTGGCCTTTTTAGTTTTGAGGGATGTGGGGGGAGTATGGTTTGTTTAAGAACCTGAGGGCCTACCAAATTCCTTTCTATCAGCTTCTATGACCTTCCATGGCCTGGCTTCACTGCACCCACCCATCATCATACTGCTCATTCCAGTAAGTTGAGCCTTTACACACACACACACACACACACACACACACACACACACACACCACACACACGCGCGCGCACGTGCACACACGATTCTGTGTGTGTTTATTAATCACCTACCGCATGCAGGCACTGCCCTTGGGGCTAGGGATAGAGATGAAAATGTATGAGACTAGGGCAGGTTAGAGCCTTGGATCCATGGCTTTTGTCCATGGCTAAGACCACAACCCCCAGAGTTATCCTTTTTTACTCTGACCCTGGCACCTTTCCCTCATCCCCTCTAGCAGTACTCACCTCAATGGGCTGTGCAGGTTTCTCAACAGGGTCATCCACCAGTGGTTTCTTGGGCTGCAGGGTGGGGAGGGTACATCAAAGAGGATGACCTCACTTGGAACAGCTAAGGGGTGTGTCCAGTTCTAGAGGACCCTACCAACAATCCTCTCACCTTATGCCCAGTTTCTAGTTCTTGCAGAAACTGGTTCCAGGAGTCTTCTGTCCAGACATTCTCTACTTTCTCTTGATGTCTGGGTACCTGCGTGGACATGAGTGGCCATCAGCTTGAGTGGAGGGACACAAGGGTTGGGGCTACAGTCTTCCCTGATGCCCATGGGTCCCCTAAATATGCAAGCCGTAATCAGGAAATTATCTGAGCTATGTTGGCGGATGGGTATTGGCCAGCAGGAATGTCTACCTGATTTGGGTGTTGGAGCCCTGAAGAGGATGATCCAAAATTATAGTTAAAGGTGTTTCTAGATGTCTCTTCTGAATGGTTCCAGTTTCTTCTGAAGAAAGAGAAAATACTACCTTCAGCTTCCTCTTAGAAAACTGAGTCATAGGTGAGGATGTAAACAAAGAAGGGGCTGTACCCCTCCTCTCTACCACTGTCCCCATGTCCACAGAAGGAGTCTACCTGCCCCCTTGCTGAGGAATTAGTGCTGTAGAGCAGTCCGTGTGAGTTACAGGTTTAAATCCAGCCTCATCACCTAGTATCTGTGTGACCTAAGAGCTGTGGCAAGCTGTATGGAGCCTTGGGCTCAACACCAGTAAAATGGGAGTGACATGCAGGAATATGTGCAGGGTGTCAAGTGAAAGGCCTACATAAACTTTGCTCCATGGGTGGCCAGGGCCTCTCTTGTAGCCTTGGGCAAAAGTATCCTGTATTTGTGTTTGGTATGTTGTGTACTAGAGCAGCTAGCTTTCAGGCTGCCATAGCCAAGCAGTCGGATAAGCCATTGCTGTTTAGTAATCCTTCTATATACTGTGTAGATGTGTTGCTCTCATTGTTAATAAAAAGCTGATTGGCCAAGGCTAGGCAAGATTTTTAGGGGCAAGAGAATGCTGGAAGGAGAAGGAAGAGGAGGAGGAGGAGGAAGAGGAGGAGAAGGAGGAGGAAGAGGAGGAGGAGGAAGAGAAGGAGGGGGAAGAGGAGAAGGAGGAGGAGTCCTCAGGAGTCCAGAGGAGATGTGGGAAGAAGATGAACTTGCTGTGTTGAAAAAGGTACCGAGGGACTGGAGAGATGGTGCAGAGGTTAAGAGCACTGGCTGCTCTTCTAGAGGACCTGAGTTCAATTCCCAGCAACCACATGGTGGCTCACAACCATCTACATGCCAGAACACTGTACACATAATAAATAGATAAATCTTTAAAAAAATACAAGTTAAAAAAAAAGAAAAAGGTACCACTGTATACAGCAGAGCATAGATAAGAAATATGGGTTAATTTAAAATGTAAGAGCTGGTTAGTAACAAGCCTGAGCTATTGGCTGAGCATTTATAATTAATAATGAGTCTCTGTGTGGTTATTTGGGAATTGGCTGGCAGGACAGAATAATGAGTCTCTGTGTATTTGGGAACTGGCTGGCAGAACAGAAAAGTCTGCCTACAAACCACAGCCCAGGATAATTTAAGACTACACACAATTCCAAGGAGAACCTGTGGGCGTCTCTGTCCAGAAGACCTGGGCAAGTTGTTTCGGGTCTCTGGACCTCAGGTTATATAGGATGTGGATTCAGTGATGAAGCCTCTGTGGCCACCTCAGTCACTGAAATGTCCTGCTGCCTCCTCTGTCCTCTAGGATTTCTTTCCCGGCTGACTTTCATGTCCCAGCCTCTGGTTTTAGTCTGAAAGTTAGTTACCCATGGGACAACTGAATAGAGTTTATCAAATGATGGCATGTCTGACCACAGGGAGAGGATTCGTTGCCTGTAATGATGACACTGTCCTCATTTCAATAATAAAAAAGGTGATCATGAGAATGGAATGTGCTGTTTGCAGTAGAAGGAAGCTCCCACCATACGGGAACCTGTGTGTTAGAATGTTTGCAGACTTGCTGGATGCCAACCACAATGCAAGATGCACACACTGTTCACTCGGTCCTCACAATCTCCCCCACTACTCCCACTTACAAGATGGAGACCTGAGGCTCAAGGTTGACTACTTTCCTGATGTCAAAGGCCGCAGGTCAGTGATGGCTATGCTAGTGAACTGAATTGTGTCCTGTAAAAAGGCACACACAGCTAGTGGACTTAACCACAGAGCAGAGTTCCAGGTCCCCTAGTGGAGCAGAGTTCCGACAGCACCTGAGCACTCAGCCCAGGGGAAGGAGTTTCTTCCTGTCCCTCTCTGGAGGGCACCTCTCAGCCACAGTCTAGTAGAAACCTGGGCTCGTTTATGTTGTTGGCCTTCTCTCAGGTTTTAAAGTGGAAGATCACATGTCCAACCTGCCCTTAACAGCTTCCATCCTGGACACACACATAACTCATGGTCTCTGGTTCTACGAGGGTCTGGTCCCTGATGCACAATAGGAGTGGCTCTGTTCCTGGCTATCTTTGGCCCTTGTGAGTTGGAATATCTGCAGTGGTGGAGACCCTCTGAACCCCTGTAGAACCCAGTGGAGGAGTAGAGACCCTTTCCTGCCTGCTCCCAGGTTGTGCCAACTTTGGCCACGAGGGGGCACTAGTCTCTACTTTGCTTGCCCACAGCTCACCCGCTGGACGTCACTGCTGGGCCAGACCTGGAGCCAGGTTTTTGCTGGGGCCCTGGATGCCTGGGGTCTGCGGAAGATGCACGTGAGGAAACCACTGGAGGTGAAAGAAGACAGACAAGGACTAGGGTTGGGCAATTGTTCGAGGCTGTGGGTACCTACCTCCATCCTAACACCTGGATCACTGGCTCACAGGAATAGAGATGGGCTCCTGGCTAGTACATGGACTTTGCACCAAGAGCTTTACAATACAAACTCTTCAAAACAGTTTGGGGCGGGTGGTATCCCAGTTCCACAGATAAGAAAAGAGAGGTCCAGGGAAGTCTGGTCAGCAGATGACAAAACAAGGGCTTTCTGGGCAGTGAAGGAAGTCTTAGTCACCTCTTACCAGGGGATTTAGTGTTCCCGGAAGTGGCCCTTAAAATCTCCCTGTATGGAACCACACCACCTGGGAAGCCCCCAAGCCCAGGCTACAAGTCACCAGACGCAGACCAGTGAACCCATATCTCTCACCTTTGGGTGGGTCTTCCAAGGTCCAGTCCAGCTGCAGGTCTGGAGAACGGAAAGGGCTAGGTCACCACAGAGTGAGGACAGGGCGCTCCAGGAACCTGCCTAGCTGCTCCCAGCCTCCCTTCTGCCTGGAGCAGGGGCTGAGGGCTGAGTCAGGGCCTGAAGAATGTCCCGAGGGAGGGAAGGAATTAGGAGGGCAGCTTTGGGAGGGCTTGAAATGCCTGCCTCTGGCAGACTTTGGGCCAGGGAGAGCCAAATGGGCGGCAACCACACCCTCTAGCTCCTCCTGTTTTATTCACACACACACCCTCTCCTGACCTCTGTAGGCTTGCCCTGGCCATGCCAGCTTGTGGGAGCTGTGTCTCCTCTCGGTTTCCCTTCCCTACTTGCACCTCCTTCTAAAATACCTTCTCAGTTTGCCCAGAACCACACCTCCCAGTGTTCAGGGCATTCAGGGTTGGGGTGAGGGAGGCTAAGGCGTTCTAAAACCTTTCTCAGGAGCCTGGCTTCACCTCCCCCTGCTGCTGGGGTGTCTGCTTTCCCTGGCAGCAGCTACACCACACACCTCCAGTCCCCACCCTCCTTCCCAACAGCCTGCTGCTCCCCACGGCTGCCTCAACCACTCTGACCAAGCACGGAGGGGCTCCCCTGCAAGCAGCCTGTGGCCAGCTCCAAAGCTGTCTAACTCGACTCAGTGGCAGCACTGGTCACTGCTCTTCCTTCTGAAACTCCTTTCTCTCATCTGGTTGCGGGGAGACTATTGTCTCTCCTCTGTCTCTGGGAGCACCTGCAGGCTCTAAGGCTGCTCTCCTCTCATCCCTGAGGCCTCTCGAAACCACATGCCTGGGGGGGCTCAGTCCTAAGGACGGTCTCTCCGTTTCCCTATGTGATCTTGGCTAGTCTTAAGACTTTCAGATACATTCAGCCTTGTCTCCACGGGGTCCACATCCATGGATTCAACCAGGCCCACTCTGAAAACATCTATGCTGTACATGGACTTATTTCTTGTCATTGTCCCCAAAACAACACAGTATAGTGTGTGTATAGCTACTGATGCAGCATCTACTTTGTATTAAATATAAGTAACCTAGAGGCAGTTGAAGGTCTGTAAGAGGCTATATGCAGGTAGATGCAAATATGAATACTTATACCTACATTTTATTATTTTTTTCTATTTATTTTATATATTAGTATGTGTGTCTGTGAACCACATGTGTGTCTGGTTCCCCATGGAGGTCAGAAGAGGGTACCAGATCGCCTGGAACTGGAGTCACAGAGTTGTGAGCTACCATGTAGAGTCCAGGAATTGAACCTGGGTCTTTTAGAAGAGCAGTCACTTAACTGCTGATCTCGCCAGTCCCTTCGGGTTTTTTTGTTTGTTCTTTTTTTTTCTTAGAAACATGGGGGGGGGGCACATGCATGCCACAGCATGTGTGTGAGGTCAGAGGGTCAGGATTCTCTCCTTCCACTATGTGGGTTCTGAAGATGGTTGGGGTTCTCTCCTTCCACTATGTGGGTTCTGAAGATGGTCAGGGTTCTCTCCTTCCACCATGTGGGTTCTGAAGATGGTCAGGCATGGAAGCCTTTACCCACTGAGTCATCTTGCAACCCGTTTTTAGATTTTCCTTGAGATAGGACCTCACACCACAGCCTGGTTGGCCTAGAACTCGTGACAATGTTCTTGCCTTAGCTTCCCTGAATGAGCCACCATAGAGCCCTATATCCATAGCTTTGAATATGACACTTTATACACAGGGTCTCAATGCCTGGAGGGCAAGGATAAGGATGGTGCTGCCTATTCCCACAATTGTAGTTCATAGCTAGGCTAAGGCTACACATTAGAATTGCCTCGAGGACTGGAACCAGCATCTCTTTTGAGAGTCCCAGGTATTTCCACATGCAGCAGAGACCTTGCCCTTGAACTGGCCTTGGACATTAAGTTGCCTGCTCCACTTGAGTGTGACATGCCTTGAAAACCAAAAGCCTCTATTTTTTGTTTTGTTTTCTGAGACAAGGACTCATTATGTAGCTCTGACTGTCCTGGAACTTACTGTGTAGACCAGGCTGTCTATGTCTCCTGAGTGCTGGGACTAAAGCCATATGCCACCACACCAAGCTCCAAATGCCTCTTAAACTGCTCCCTCTTCCTTCTCATTAAAAAAATTACAACACCGAGCCGGGCATTGGTGGTGCACACCTTTAATCCCAGCACTCGGAAGGCAGAGGCAGGTGGATCTCTGTGAGTTCGAGACCAGCCTGGTCTACAGAGCGAGTTCCAGGACAGCCTCCAAAACAATACAGAGAAACCGTGTCTCAATCCCCCACCCCCCAATTACAACACCAAAGGCAGGCACACTCCCGTGATCCTGAGGCAGGAAGACTGAGAGCTCTAGGCTAACCCCAGCTACATAGCAAGCCCAAGGCTAGCCTGGAATACTCAAGACCCCGTCTGAAAAATAAAAAGGAAACTAAACAGCAGCTTCATCCTTCAGCATGCTCAGGTTTAAATACACTCTTGAGGCTGTTCTTTCATGCCCTATCCCACCATCAGCAAATTCCAAGACTCTGCCAGGGATACCCTGGATTCCCCACCCCATCCCACTGCTCACTGCCCTGCCCTGGTCACTGCTAGGTATAGACTGGATCAAAGCAGTTCTCATCATTGCCTTTTCCCTCCCATCATGCCAATCAGGGGAATTGGTCCCCTTGCTCCTACCATCTCTTCTGAGTCTGGCAGTGTGCACTAGAATGGAGATCCTTCCAGCCCCCATTGTCTGAACTCGTCATTCTGCTGCTCAGAACTGCCCAGGGGTTCCAGGTTTCTTGTCCGGTAAAAGCCAAAGTCCTTTTGGGGATACCCTAACCCTTACAAGGTCTGACCCTATCACCTCCGTTGGCATCTCCTACACTAATCCCCTCTCACTCGTCCAGGGATGGGCCAGATGTGCTTTTCCCCCTGGGTCTTCGGGGCTCCCTCTGCTGGTACACTCCTCACTCTCCTTTCTGGGCTTAGCTCAAGAGCCTCCTTCCCTGCCTGTGCTGGGTGAGGTCTCAGCCTCGCTGCTCTGGCTGCTCCCAGCCTTCTTTGGTTTTATTCTAGCCCTTTCCACCGTCTGCTTATTGTGCATCTTCCTGGAACAGTGCTCCATAGGTCCTGAGAGACAGGCAAGAACTGTCCCAATGTCCCGATTGCCTGTAGAGAGCTCACAGGCCGCTCAGGCTTTCAGAAGACACCAGTGTTTCACGTGGACCTCCGTGGCTGGTACTGCAGCCTAACCAGAAACCCCGAGGGATTTCAGGAAGCCCCCAGATGACATCAGGAAACTTCAGCTAGTCACAGTCCACCCAAGGATGCTCTGGAGGCCGCTGTTGGCCTCAAGCATTGGTGAAACAGAAACTCCCTCCCTCTGTCTCTCCCTCGTCTTCTTCCTTTCTCCCCCACCTTTCTTTTTTAGATTTTTGAGATAGAGTCTCATTTTGTAGCCTAGGCTAGCCACAAATTTGTGATCCCCCTGCCTCTGCCTCCTTGAGTGCTGGAGTAACAGGCAGCAACTTCTTTTTTGGGGGGTGGATATTTTCAGGATCACTCACCTTAGAGCTTGTAGACAGAAGAATCTCATGAGCAAAGAAATCCCTCTTTCCCTCCCACAAATTCCATATCGTTGGGAGTCTACTGGGCCTTGGGAAGGTGTCTAACCTGGCATTTTCCGGTGAATTTGCTGGAACATTCTCCGATACCAGTCTCTGGGGCTGTCAACACTCTGAGATCAGAAAAGTAAAATCAGGCCTCCCTGCTCACCCATCCTTCCCAAGGACAAACCATGAGGGCTTTCCCAATGAGATCTTTCTCTGGGCATCTCAAAATCCATATCAACAGCTGGGGTCTGGGGAATGTCTCTGATGGTGGTGTGTGTGTGTGTGTGCCTGTGTGTGTGTGTGTGTGTGCAAGTGCATACCCCTGTGCTTGTAGATGTGGTCTATTGCTCTCCACATTTTTTTTACATTTCTTTCCTTTATTATTGGGGGTGGGATGCGTACATGCCACACTCATATGTGGAAGCCATAGAACAATTTACAGGAATAGGTTCTCTCCTGCTATTGTACAGGTCTGCGGATCAAACTCAGGTCGTCAGGAATGATGGCAAGTGCCTTTATCAACTTGAACCATTTCACCAACTCTCTACCTAATTTATTTTTATTCATTTATTTTTTAAAGATTTTTTATGTATATGTATTTTATGTATATGAGTATTTTACTTGCATCCTCAGAGGTCAGAAGAGAGCGTTGGATTCCCTGCAACCAGAGTTGTGAACTACCTACCATGTGGGTGATCTGGAGAGCAAACCCTGTTGAGGACTGGGAAGCAAACCTTGGTCCTCTGCAAGAACAAGTGTTTGTAACCACTAGCAGTCTCTCCTGTCCTTTATTTTACTTTCTTTTTTTTTTTTTTTTTTTTTTTTTTTTTTTTGGTTTTTCGAGACAGGGTTTCTCTGTGGCTTTGGAGGCTGTCCTGGAACTCGCGTGGTAGTCCAGGCTGGTCTCGAACTCACAGAGATCCTCCTGCCTCTGCCTCCCGAGTGCTGGGATTAAAGGCATGCGCCACCAACGACCGGCTTATTTTACTTTCGAGACAATGTTTCACACGGAACTCACTCTGTAGACTGGGCTGACCTTGAACTCACAGAGATCCTCCTGCCTCTGCCTCCTGAGTGCTGGGATTAAAGACACCTGGTTCAGGGTCTCTCACTGAACCTGGAGCACATTGTTTCCTGTAGCCTGGCTAGCCAAGATACCGTTGGGATCTGCTTGTCACCCTGCCCTCAGCTTTGGGACTACAGATACATGGTAGGACCTAGCTTTAGTAGAGTTACTTGGCTATCGTTCTACCCACTGAGCTTTCTCTCCAGATCCTTTTGTGGCAACTTCATGTGGCATGTTGTATGTAGAAGAACTCTTATTACTGCATAGGATGTGTCCCTCTACTGTGAGTCGTGGAGTGGGCCACCATGTGGTTGCTGGGAATTGAACTCGGGACCTTTGGAAGAACAGTCAGTGCTCTTAACCTCTGAGCCATCTCTCCCACGAGACGTAGAGTGATTTACATTTTTCTTGTGATTTTATACATCTTGTGTGCATGCACAGCCATGCACATGAATACATGTTTGTGTGGGTGTAGGTGTGGTTGTGTGTGTGTGTGTGTGTGTGTGTGTGTGTGTGTGTGTGTGTACATATAGAGGCCATGGGTCAACTCAGCTGTTATTCCTCAGGCACTGTCCACTTGTTTATTTAGTTTTTGAGACAGGGTTTCACTGTGTAGCCCTAGCTAGAACTCACTCTGAGGCCTTGAACTCAGAGATTTGCCTGCCTCTGCCTCCCACATGCTGGAATTAAAGGTGCCCGCTTGTTTTCTCAAGACAGTCTCTCTCAATGGCCTGGAACTCTCCAAGTATGCTAAAGTGGCTGTCCAGTGAACCCCAGAGATCCTCCTGTACCCACCCCTCCCAGTACTGGGATCATAAGCATGTGCTACCAAGCCCACTTTTTAAAAAAATTACTTTAATTTTTAGATTCAATTAAAAATTTTAATTTCAAATAATTTAATTTAAAATTTAAATAGTAAGTATTATAAGTAATAAAATACTTATATTTTAAATAATTTATTTATTTTTAATTCCAGGGACTAGAATTCAGACCCTCATGCTTATGTGGCAAGCACTATACTGGCTGAGCTCTCTCCTCAGTCTTGTTTCTATATTCCTGATGCTTCTACAGCGATCATGTTTCTACACAAGGAAACAAAAGCAACACTGCAGGGAGAGAAGGCATTTTACCCACCACATCTTACAAAGCAGGCAGGGACTATAAAAGAATATGGCTGGTCCCAAGATATGATGGCAATGGGGATGGTCAGGGCCGCAGGAGTCCTGGTAGAATACAGCATCCCTTCCTACCTGCATTGGCATGAGGCAGTCTTGCTCAGGACTCGCTCAGCCAGTAGATAGATAGCTATTCTGTGGGTGCTCTGCCAGGCCATTGAGACATAAAACTAAGCCACCCCTGCTAGGTTCAGCCCTTAAAGTGGTAGCTTTGCAAGTTTAAGATCTGTACCATATAACACCTGACTCAGACCCACAAGGTGTGGGCGTGGCCTTCATGCCTCCTCACCTCTATTATTCTCATAGAAAGGGACTTAGGAGGGTCCCTGGGCCCCCTCTATCTGTGGCCCCCAGCCCTGGACTCACAGATCGGGGGGCAATGGGCATGCCGCTCTCATCCACGGGCCCGATTCCCTCGTACTTCACCCAGCGCTTGTCCCGTCGCTTGTTGTCCTTGGTCCATGTGGCTGACCAATTCTGGGCGTGCTGGGGCGCAGGTTGCTTTGGGCTCGCAGAGGGCCGGTTCCCAGGGCCTGGCCAGGTCTGATACCATGCTGGGTCTGTGAGAGGTATAGACGGATATTAGCTGAAAGGCAGGGGTCCCCGCCTGACCTTCAGTTTCAACCCCTCCTTAGCTGGCTGTATGATGCCAACTCCACAAACCTCCCCCATTCCCAGCAGCGCCCCAGCTTCCACTTGTTTGGTTCTTAAAAATGATTTTTAAAAGGATTTTGTTTGGAGCAAAGGATTTTTTTTAATCGATCCCCACCCAATTCTGTTTTCCTTGGACTGTCCCGAGAGTTTGCATAAGGAGGACTGGGAATCATTACTTCTAATAAACGCTGGGGACATCCCAGCTAGGGTGTGGTGACACAATGGTTCTGGTTTGCAGGACGGTTGGTGGGGGAATGGGATTGGACGGACTCAGACTTAAATTCTGACTCCAGCTCTGCTATCTACTGGCTGTTTAAGTTGAGGCTCATCAATCGCCCTCATGGGACCTCAGTTTCTATTTGTATAAAAGGAGAGTGATTTCAGCAAAGATGTAGAGACTTCTAGTCTGTGTAACTGTACCCAGCACGTACAGACAATGACCCTCAGGGAGGTCAGGAACTCATTCCCCAGGCATGTAGTCTGTGTCCCCAACTCCCCCTCCCCAGAACACTTCATTTCTAATGGCATAAGTACTTCAGGGCCAGAAGGCCAAGGGTGTAGACCTCAGTGCAACCTCATCTACTCTGAGCATCTCTGAGACTGTATCCTCCCTGGGAATACGCCCATAATCAGCTGGGACATTGCTTGGATGTGGATGGATCAGACGAGGTGAGGCTTATGAAATGTCTGTAGAGCATTGCCCTGCTGTAAGTGTTCAATAATCACTTGTTAAATGACGGAGGCCCTTTGCACAGTATCTGACTCAGGGGAATGAATGCTCAATAAAGGATGCCATCTCTCTCAGGGCCGAATTGTACTGAGGAATCCCCAGAAGCTCAGAGACCTTAGGGCCCAGATGGCAGGCTCTAAAGCTGCACCCCCCATGTCCTTTTGTACTGAGTATCTGGAGGGGACAGTCCCTCTTCGTTCTTAGGATAGCACTTCTCACCCTCCCATTTGAATCATTGGCCCTGTTACAGTTCCCTTGACCCCTAAGGCCATGGCTCCCTGGACACATCCTTCCCTTGTCCAGAGGGAGGGAAGGGCTGTGTCAGCCTTTTCTCTCTTCAAGGTTTCTCAGGATAAGCACGCTCACCCATAGAACACTAAGCTGGATTCACAGTTCCCAGGGGGACCATCTCACGGCCTTGAAAGATCCATTCCCTTCCATCTGGCATAGGGATTTGCCTCATCCCCTGCATAAGGTTCCCAGAGCAGATCTTCCCAAGCAGACCCACCTGGATGCTGGAAACCATCTCTCCTGGGTGGGGAATAGCCATTGCACACAGTCCTGGGCGCAGGGTCATGGAACTGGAAATTAAGGGTGTTGGAGCCACCATTACGGATCACGGGCACCTGTGGAGAGGGGCCAGGAGTGGCAAGCTCAGGGCCCAGAGGTGCCACTCTAGTGGGAAGGGACGGCAGCCAGGGCATAGCCATGGTCCGGCCTCCTGGGGAAGCCATGGAGGCTGTCTGGAGCCTTCTCTCCTTACCCTTTCTGTCCTCTGCTCCCTCGCCTGGCCTGCTAGTGTCCCCATCAACTGCTGGCCCACCAGTGTACCCTTTTCCTTGCCGTTCACTCACCCTTGTCCCCCGGGGGGATGAGCCCACATGTGCTCGGAGGTGGCCAGGAATGAAATCGTCCAGGCTGAGTCCAGCAGGGAGGCCTTGCATGCTTGGGTCAAGGTTGGAAGACGCAGGATGTGCCAGCTGCTCCTTCGCGTGTACCCTGCAGGGCAGGAGGAAGGAAGGGAAAGCCTTGCTGGGCTGGACTGCCTGGGTCCTCTTGATTCAGCCCACGGGTGGGGGAGGAAGGTAGGTTGTGGGAGGGGATTATGGCCAGCTGGGTGGGAGCTCAAGGGCCCAGGAAACAGGCAGCTTTGGGCACCAGCCTGCAGGCTGCCAGTGCGGACTCCCAGAGGCACAATAGACTGCTTGTTAGGCCCAGGGCAGGAGCTCTGGGTGGGAGTGGGGGAGGGGAAACCAGGCAAGGAGGAGGATAGGGAGGCTGGCCAGGGGCAGGCCTGCGCCTGCTGACCACCCCTCCTAGCAGAGAGCCAGTTCCCCTAGAGGGAAGGCACAGGGGAGCTGGGGCAGCTAGCAGAGAGAACCTGGGCACACGGGACTTCGGTTCCATTTTTTTTCTGTCACCCTCACGCCCTGGGTAGCATCTGCTTGCTCATGGGCACAAGGGCAGCCAACATCAAGGCCACCTACCTGCTGACCATGGGAAGCAGCCAGCAGTGCCTCCATCACTACCAGGGCCAAGGAGAGCATGGGAAGCATTGCCAGGCAGGGCAGCCACTCCTGGGATCGTGGGCTACCTGCTGGCCTCCTGTACAGATCACAGCTCCAGAAGACTCAGGGCCAGGGGTAGATGGACAGAAAGCAACGACACAGATGACAACACAAGAGGTCCTTTGCCTGCCCTGGAGTAGTGCTGAGTTCTGGAGGCTGCTCTCTTGCACGCTGACAAACACTCCCATACCCATCCTCCCTGGCTGACAGCATCACACCCGACAAGCCAGTAGGCTGCTCTGCCTCACTCAAGGGTCAGCACAAGGGAGCAGGAGTGCAGAGCACCTGGGAGACGGGGGTGAGCAAAGGGAGACCCCAAGGTGGGTACAAGAGGACAAAGAGGTCATGGTTCAAGGGCCCCAAAGAGCTTTGGTGTCCAGAGAGCTGCGGGACACAGTCTGTGCCTCTTCATCTTCCGTCTGAATGGGGCCCTAGTGGACTAAAGTCACATCACCGTTTGGACTGGGCCAAGTCAGGCTTGTATGTGCTTGTGGAGTTTGTGACAGCTTCAAGCAAGGACACCAGAAACCTCAGGAGGTGTCCTGGATGTGGTAGAATTCGTTCAGTGCTGTGACTGTGACTTGCGGGGTGGGGAGGGGTGGGGTGGGTGGGGAGCAGGGTGGATCATGTGAGCAGCATGGAAGTTAAGATGAAAAGAGTGTCAGCTGGAGCATGTGCAGCATGCAGTCATATGAGTTAGAGTTGTGGGGGACGGAGGAGATGGAGATGGAGATGGATAACAGAGGCCTGTGGTTCCTTGTCCTTCATACGCAGTTCCTGCTCGGGCATTGGCAAGGATACAAAGGAGGCGAGGGGGAGCACCCTCTGGGCTGCCTTTGTGGAGATTTCTTCTGACATCTGAGCAGCCTTTCGGGGACCCAGCCAACCCCTGGGTTTGTGGGGAGGGGAGGTTGAGTCTGGAAGAGGTGCAGCCCACCAGCTGGATCCAATTAGAGTGCTTACCAAAAGGCCAAACATACAAACACACCCCAGTTCTGGTTGCTTGGCCTTCCTCCGAGGGAAAGTGAGGCAGGACTGAAGAGCAAGGAGGCCGGGCAGACAGACTAGTGCAGCGCGCCCCTCCCCCGCTCAGCTGATGGCATGAGGTCAGGTTGCACCCATCAGCTGACAGGCTTTCCTTCCCTAATGTTAGTGTCCCACCCAGTGTCCTCTCTAGGGATGATGGTTAGACCCTCATCACCACCTGTTTTCAGGAGCTGTAAACCCTGGGATACCTCAATCTGCTCCTCTCCCACTCGGCTCCATGTAAAAGCACTCCTAAGAATACACAGGGATAGGACAGGACTAGAAGATGGTCCTGGTTTTCCTCCCAGCAGGCCTGCTTGTAGACATTAGGCAGAACATAAGGAGACAGAGGCCTCCTGGAGAACTGGTCTCTATCTAGCATAGATCATGGTGAGTTCCAGAATTCAAGCAGCCCCTGCACCCAAACAGCTCTCTCCAAAGGGCTGGAATAATGAAGTATGTTAGGTAGGCTCCTTCCTACTTCAGAGTGAGGCCCCAAAGGTGAGGACTTTGCCCTCTGCTTTTCCAGGTCTTATCAAACTACAGTTCCCCACAGACAGGGCCAGGGTTTTTCAAGTTCATCCTTTTCTGGACTGTGGACAGTGAAACTTCACACAACCTCAGAGACTGGGACCCTGGGGGAGGGGCTCTATGCCTTCGCTCCTGTCCATCCCAAGCTGCATCTTGCCTCTTTGGGGGCCACTTTCCCGCACCTACCTTCCCCGGGCGAGCAGGTGGGCGGGCTTGGGGCCGCCCAGGAGGGCAGGAGCATCCCAGCCGGCTCCTGCCTGGCGCTGCTGCGGAAAGCCCTCAGGGAAAGAGGGCAGGGAGAAGTGCCGGCTGTCGCGGCCCTCGTGACCCGTCAGGACGCCCAAAGAGGAAGAGGGAGCTGAAGAGGCGCGCACGGAGCCAGGGCCCTGAGAGTAGTGCAGCTGGAGGAGTTTGGGTCTCGGATCTGGACTGTGAGCCCCGGCTGTGCTGGGGTGGAGTGGAGGGGAGGCTACTCCCTCCCTCACTCCCGCAAGTGCCCTCCATCCGGCAGTGCGCCACGGGGACGCTGTGGCCCCTTGCCCAAGGGGCCGGGCCGGCTAGGAGGCGGCGCCGGGTGGGGCCACCGAGGGTCCCAGGGGAGCCCACTGGGTTTCCCAGATGCCTTCCCTGGCCCCCACCACAAAGCTGGCGTCGGAAGGGGGCGGGCAGGCTGGTGGGGGCCACTCAAAGTTTCCAACGACATTTCCAGGGTGTGGGAAGCGAGCTGTTCTGCAGAGCCAGGACAGAGGGCAGGAGTGATAGTGCCAGAGCCCGGGTGGAGCCAGCATTAGATACGCAGCCCTCAGCCTGAAAGAGGCAGGAGACAGGCCTGGAGGCAGACAGGCTGGGACCGAGATAAGGGAACCCCACAGGCAGGGTGGCCTAGAAGCGATGGCGGCGCCCACTTGACTTTGTGTCTGTCTAAGCGCGCGACCAGGCGTTTGCAAACAAACACGCTTGCCCTGGCAAACGTGACGCCGCTCACCAACGTGCAAAGTTTGGGGAGGAAATTGTCCTAAGAGAGCCAGCGGCTCCCTGGACATGCTGCAGCCCTAAAGAGGAGAAGGGTGGGGTCCCCTGGGTGGGGATGAGGTTGGGAGGGTCTTGGTGTTCCCATTCACCGTATGTTTTGATCCTGCTTTTCCGCTGTTCCTGCGGTGCTGACGCTGACGCGGATCCCAAGGACACCGCCCACTGGCTGCCCATTCTCTCTGACCCTCTCTCCTCCCCCTCCTCCTGCCACGGCAAATGTTTACCGCCGATGGAGAAAACCCTGTAGTACTTCTAGCCCGTGACTCACTCCTGGGATACCCAAGTCCCCAATAAACCAACCAGTAAAAATGGCTTCTGGACCACTTCAGCTAGGTGCTGGGTATGGTCAGTGATAACTACTGCAGTTTGATTGTTACCTGAGTTTTAGTGGTTTTCAAGCACACAGCAACCCCTAGCGCTCTCTGCTCTTATTAGCTCCACATTTCCCCTATTATGGGGAAAGAGCTGTATGTGCTGTCCTTAAACAAGACCGATCCCCTAGGAAACCTAGACCAAGGAACAGCTCAAGAGATGAACGTGCCACAGGGCTCCCGTGGGTGGGGATCTTAAGGTGTTTCGAAGGCTGCTAACGGGGTCCAACTCCCAGTGGTGAGGTGCTGTAACAAAGGCAGGTATTGCACAGTGCAGGAGAGCTAAATGAGATGTCCTATGCGGTCTCTAGAGAATATCCACCTGCCTTCTTAAGGAAGCTGAAGGGAGAGGGTTGGGGGTGGGTTACGAGGCACGACCTTTGATGTGGAGCAGTAGAATACTGCCCCCCTGAAGCTGGAGTTATCCATCCATCCACCCCAGGGAAGCGGCCTCTTCCTCCCTGTGGGATTAAAAGTGCTGCCCATTCATTTCCCTCTTCCAAGTTTTCCCACCTGTCAGGGTCCTTGGGACTAAGAAGGGCTGCATCGCTTTCTCTGTCTTCCTTGTTCTCCAGAGACGACGGAGCTGAAGATCTTCCAAGTCCAGGAATCCTGGCCATCCCCCTCAGCAGCAGCGAACTTCTTAGGCTCTAGGGCTCTGACCTGGACTCCAAGATAAATATTTAATGTAGAAGGTGCTGCTGAGCTGCCAATGGTCCGAGCTTCCTGTTTCTCACAAGAGGAGGTACAGCCATGGGTGAAGACTGAGGACTAGCTACCAGTCCCATCTCTATGGGAATGGGGCGTCTGGTAAACAGCCTTAGAGGACGCCCGTGGGGAGGGAAGGGGGTGGTGTACAAAGAGCTGGGCTTTGTGCTCAGTGCCTCAGCTTGACCTGGCCACTCAGGCCTAGGCTGCCTCAGCACCTCTCAGGTTGGAGCCTGGCTGCCTGCATACTCAAGTATTTGGATAGCCGCACAAAACACAGGATGCAGGTCAGAGAAATCCAAGGAAACTTGTATGATGCCCCCCTTTTCTGTCCATATTTAAGAATTCCTCCTCTTTTAAGAAGACTAAGGAGAAAAATGTAGCTAGGTTCCCCTCATTTCCCTACTCCTCCCCCTAGCTCACTGCTGCCTGCCTGACTCACACAGCTGGGCAGCTTCCAGCGGCCTATCAGAGCCAGGTAGCACTGTCCCAGAGTACAGCCCTGGTCAGCATGCTGTCCTCTGTCTCCTGCATGCCCTCCTGTCTAAAAGGGACCTCCTTCCCTATTAGTCGGCTGCCTGAACACCTCTGGCAAGGCCTTGGGTCAAGGACGGGATGAGGGGTGGGGGGAGGGGGGGTTGTTCCACAGCCACCTGAGCCCATGTAAACACACTTACGTAACTGGTCTGTTTTTCCTAGCTATCTGATTCCAGTCACTGGGAGCCCCACCCAGCCCCAGGCAGCCAATTCTGTTCAATGCACATCCCTCCACCCCTGCCCAGCACTCTGTCCAATGCCACCAACTCAAAGCACCATTAGTCAAGTGACTACCAATTAGTGCTGTGGAGAGTCTACCATTGGGATGAGTCACAGTGACATCTCTGCTGCAGGTCCCTCCTCCAGGTTAGCTAGAAAAGCACCTGCTAGTTCCCTGGGGCCATCGCCAGTCCATTCTTCAGGCAGGCCCTCACATCCATTTTGGTTTGTGCTTCTAAAGGAGCGTTTTCTTTCTACAGACCGGATGGGAGTAGGCAAGGACAGGCAGACTGCTCCAGAGGGGACCACGCGCGGAACCCAGCAGTGAGGGCCTGGGGCCAGGTCACCGTGGTTATGCTAGCACAGAGCTGGACTCGGTTTCACCCCTGGGGCCATCTCCCGACTCCAGCTCCTGCTGTGCTGCCAAGTAAGCTCTATCAATGGCCCCACATATGCCAACCACTCATAGGAACAGGGACAAACAAGGCAGGAAGGTGAAGTGACCCACTTTGGGCCTCCAAGGACTGTCTTGCACACTGGCCTATCTGGAAGTCTGTGTTGTTTGTTTGTTTTGATTCAGTCATGGCAAAGTGAAGGAATTCTGAGTGAAAAAAACAAAACAAATGAACAACAAAAAACACAGTGTAGGTCAAGGATTTTCAATGTCAGGCCTGGCAGCCAGGACAGGTATGGAAAAGTCTAGGAAGGAAAAGGCTGAGGGTTTCAGGCCTGCCTTGCACGAATGTTTTCATAGCACACATATAAGAGGCATCTCATGGCTCTCAATATCTAAACAGCAAAGGCTGTGGAAAGCAGCAGTCCTTGCCCAGCTTATCCAGCCTGTCCTCCAGGAGGCCTGGACACTGACTGACATCACATCCACCATGCGTTCCTTTTCATGGGTGAACAAGCAGATGCCATAGGCAGGCAGGATGCCTCTGAGAAGGGCCAAGCTAGACAGACTTCCTTCAGTTCTTAAAAAGATGAAAAGAACAAGTTGTCAGCTCTTGAGAAAGCAGACTTTACAGAGGAGGACAAATGAGTGGTGACCTCAGAGGGAACACAAGCCAAGTCAGCTCAGCCACAGACAAGGGCATAGAACCAGGGGCTGGAAAATTAGGTCTGCTTCAGCCTTCCTTTCCAGCTCAGGTAAACTGAGATAACGGAGAGAGAGGGCTGACTGGCTGGCCAGAGGGTACCATGAAGTAGAGCGCTGGTCTCCAAACAAAGACTAACCTGTCTTTCTGCCTCCTAGCATTGGATGATGAACTGTCTCCACTGCATCGGCATTAAGACTTAATTTATCCTGAAGTGACCAACCCACTGTCAAGTAAGCAGATTTTTAATAGAATCTTAAGAGTTGTGACCTTTAAAAAAAGCAAAGAAGGAAGGAAGGAAGGAAGGAAAGGAGGAGGAGGAGGAGGAGGAGGAGGAGGAGGAGGAGGAAGAAGAAGAAGAAGAAGAAGAAGAAGAAGAAGAAGAAGAAGAAGAAGAAGAAGAAGAAGAAGAAGAAGAAGAAGAAGAAGTAGTCATCTAACTACCCATAGCAGACATCAAAGTCGGGATTAGATTCTGATCTAGCAGGGGTCAGTGTGACTCAGTGTTTCATCTTCTTTCCTAGGCTCTTAAGCAGCTTCCCACGACTCTGTAAATAAGGGCAAACATTACCTCATCTCACTGGGGCTTTAGCTGAGGGATAAGGCCACTGTTAGCTCAGGATGTCACTGGGGTAACAGAACATAAAATGTATGCTTGGCTTTTGTGCAGTTAAAAATAGGGGCTCATTTTTCTGATCTGAAAATTGCACACTGTGGCTGTATTTGATGTCAATGTTGCAATCTGGATCCAGCAGACCTAGATTTAGCCTTTCCACCTCTGTTGTCACAATCTGTCCAAGTCCCTCTCCAGGGCCCCACAGCCTTTCCCTATCTCCAGCCCCAAGCTGTTCAGTGATGCTTATCTGCTCTTGGACATTCACAGCCCCTTGGGATCTATGTACTTTTCAGAGGACTCCAAGGCTGGTCTGGTCCTTCCTTCTAAGCTTGGTATCACAACTTTCCATCAACTCCCTTCTGGCTTCTGACTTTTCTCAGACTGGAATCCACCCATGTCTATGGTTTAGATCATATGCAAACTTATTAAATGACAATGACATATGTTTTCTGGGTTGTCATTTTTTCTTTTTCAAATGTCAAGGAGGGGTCTTTGCTGGAGAGGTCCCAGAAGAATGAGGGATTAGAGCAGAAGTTAGTGGTGGACATAATTCCAGGAGGGGGCAAGAGGTAAAGGAAGGGGGTTCATGTGGGGAAAAGCAGAAACTCAGAAGAGGCCATTAGAGAGTTAACTATGCGGGGGTGGGGGGAGGGAGGAGATCCTCTCTTAGGAAGGGACTTCATTGGCATTGTTAGAGATCAGACCAGACATCAGAAATCAGGCTTTCTCTCGTGTCTGGACTTATTACCTGGGTCAGAGCCAAATGATAAGTGCTTCTACTAAGAAATCAAGGAAATAAAGACACAAGGAGTCAATTAAATTATCCTTCAATTTTTAAGGGCATTTTCTTCTTTTAATCTTAAAGATGACTTCCAATATAGTAAGAAAGTTCTTACAAAGCTTTTATTATTCACAGACTTATTAATGTCTCCTGTTGATAAGTAACATTTCCACAACTGTCTTTAATGTAACAGAAAGCACGAGAACACAGGTAACCTCTAAGCACAAGCAAATAGTTCATCCTTCAAGAGAATCAACAGCTAGACTGGCATGTGTGACTGCCTCATCACCTAGGCAGAAGACCAGGACCCGAGCAACCCTGGAGAGGGTTGGGTGACACTCCTATTAGGAAGGAGAGCTATGGGTTAGAGTGCCATGAGTAAGGAACATGAGGCGCTCCTGATGGCATCTTTATAAAAGTTCGGAGACAAATGAAAATACATTTTCTTGTTTTAAATGTAGGTTTTCATTATGTAGCCCTGGTGACCCTGGAATTCACTGTGGGATCAGGCTGACCTCAAATCTGCCGTGATCCTCTTGCTTCATCGAACGCCCATCCCGAATCTCATCACCACAAATCACAATGTCTGGTTGCCTGCTTCTAATCGTGTGCACTTCACGCCGATATGCCCCCAAACCAAAAGGACACGGGGCGGGATAGTTGGAGCACTGTGGAAAGGGAGTGAAGGGAATGTGACAGGGACTTACAGGCAGGCAGAGGGAGTGGCTCTACTTCCGAGCTGCACCGAGGGATGGTCATGTCCACGTCGTCGCTGCTTGATCTGAAACCACCTAGACTTGGCATACAAGTGTAGACGATGCATAACCCTGGCTCAAACAAAGGTGTTATTTAGCACGTCTTGTCACGGTTGCTGAGGCGTGAGGCCAAGGCCTCCCAGGAGGGAATGTGCTCCCAGGATCATCTTTACCTTTGTGACTGCATAGATGAAGGCAGCTAACACTGACCCCATTCACTTTGGCTGGCTAGATAGGGGCAGGACAGCTCCCAAGTCCCAATGTCATGTAGTTCCCCGCTCTCAAACTCAATGGCACAGAGCTCTATTGTTAACACAGCTCACTGCTGGCATCCAAGATAAAAGCATTGTCCTTGTCCTTTGGCTGACCAGCTTTCTTGTTCTTTCTTACGGCTTTCCTATGAGCTTCTGACCATGACAAGAACTGAAAGGGATTCCTCCGTGTGACCCTAACCCTCCTCCTCAAGTCTCCCTGGCCCATCCTGGCTGCTTTTTAAACCAGTCTAATCGACTACAGGAAAGATGGGGTAACTGTCAGATGAAGTCAAACCCCATGGTTAAATCCACAAGCATTCTAGCAAACTGGAGCCTCATACCCAACACTGAGCTCTACGTCCACTCTTCCTCTGGAATTGTTTTCTGCCTGGAGAGGGAAAACTGAAAGCAAGAAACCTGGGTTCCACCGTTACCATAACAACTAGGTTAAATACTGGGGTTCTAGAATGCTACATCAACAAATCTTTACTGGTTAGGAAATCATCTTCAATACAAACATTGGGCAGAAAAACCAGATGATCACTAATATGAAGGAAACTGAATTGTCAGTGTGGGGCAGGATTTTCCTAAACTAGTATAACTGAGTGGTCACTCAGATGGGCCAGCATAGACTTAATTATCTGGAATGTGAACTTTACAGATATTTATAGATATGATACAGGCAACACTTGGGAGATCAGCTAGAAGATTTACATAAGGCAGAGGGAAGGAATTTGGGCTTCCTCATTTGAAGTCTGGAGAACTCTTGCACATCAAGGAGGAAGCCCAGCTGCATCTCACATGACTTAGAATATTTTTCTTATATACACCAGCTGCCTCGGACTTTGTGTTCGAAAGCCACATGGAGAAATACAACTAAGGGATCATGCCAAGGTTGAAAGGGCCTCAAAGCTACTCCATTTTCAGAGACCCTACCTTTGCTCCTTAATGTCACCAAGTGAGTCTTCTACTAACCAAACCAACAGGGCTTTTTCCTTTCCCATTCTGAAATGTCAGGAAATCTCTCCTAAGTTATCAGAAAAGAAGTGTTCTCTAGTGAGAGAAACTTGCTTCATTGAATAGCAAGCTATTCTGGAAGAAGAGAAAAGGTAATTACAAAGGAAAGTGGTAGGTGGGAACAATGCTGGCATTCCCTGACAGTCTGACGCCTCTATTCCTAGGCAAGGAGCCAACCAAGCATCCACCTCCATTATTGAGTAACAAGCTATGTATGCTTTGATGGTTAAAATCCAGTGACAAGAGAGGTACCTGTCATCTTGAGATTTCAAAGACAACTGAAGCTATTTACACTGTACCACACGACTAAGGAGCCCCCAGCACATGTGGACACATACCATGGATGTGTTATTATTCTGATTTTGATCAGAACACGGATTAAAAAGGGATGTTCCCTTTGTACCAGATAAATTTTCAAATTCCCATTTAAAAATTTAGTCTTTGGTAAGTGTAAAGTTTCATATGTATGTATTTAGCCACAGCTGGGAAGCGCTGTCTGTGTGGAGTATTTTAAACCGGTGCTTCAGAAGTTTGCAAAGGAGTGCTCTGCCATTCCTGGAAAACTGCTTTAAGAAGTGGGTTACTGTAATTTTTCTGAATGGGAGAAGTATCTGAAAAAGAACGTCCCTATAGACCTAACGTGAAAACTGAACAAGAGGGTAGTGTGTTTGGCATCTTTAGAATATAAGGGAAAGAAGAGCTTTGAAAACCCAAACACTGTAGAACTTTGTCAGCAGTTAAAATAGAGTTGTGGCCCTAAGCAAAAATAGCCGTCCAAGGGCAAACCTAAGGCAGGCATCCAGGAGGAACATTTGTTCAGATTATATTTGAAAAAATGTTAAAAACTTCTAATAAAGTTTAAAGTGAAGGAACAGCAGCTACGCCGGGCGGTGGTGGTGCTCGCCTTTAATCCCAGCACTCGGGAGGCAGAGGCAGGCGGATCTCTGAGTTTGAGGCCAGGCTGGACCGACAGCCTCCAAAGCAATACAGAGAAACCCTGTCTCGTAAAACCAAAAAAAAAAAAAAAAAAAAAAAAAAAAAAAAGAAACAGCAGCTATTACAACATATTCCTAAGGCTGTCCAAATGGGCCTGGGAACTGTTTGTGATTCCTGGGATTTGCAGAACTTCTCCCTGTTCCTGCTCACAGGGTCCTTAGTAGTGAGGGGACTCCACTAGTGGACTGTGCGCCATGATATGGTCTAGTGTAGGACTGACTTTTGTGGGTGGCTTTCAAAAGAAAGGATCTTTTCTACCACTGGGATTTGGGGAGAGAAAAGTATAAGGCACAAAGAGACAGTCTGAGAAGACAGCTCAGGCCTTCTCGTCCCTTCTCTGACTCCTCAGGACAGTTAAGATCCTGTCTTCTTCCACAATGCCCTCTCTCTGCTTCCCATCAAGACAGGGGCTAAACTCACTCTTCCTCTACTTTTTTTTTTTTTTGAGACAGGGCTTCCCTGTGCAGCCCTGGTCGTCCTGGAACTCACTCTGTAGACCAGGCTGGTCTGGAATTCAGAGATCCACCTGCCTTTGCCTCCCGAGTGCTGGGATTAAAGGCATGCACCACCATGACTGGCTGAGATAAACATTTTTAAATAATTTTATTCTTTTAAAGAATGTGTATATATGTGTGTGTACAGTGCCCATAGAAGCCAGGTGAGAGTATCAAATCTCCTGGAGCTGCAGCTATAGGCAATTTTGAGCCAGATGGCAAGGGTGCTGGGAACTAAACCTGGGTCCTAGGAAGAGCAGCCAGTGCTCTGAACCACTGAGCCATCTCTCCAGGCCCCTTTGTTCTTTTTCTTTCTTGTTTGTTTGTTTTTCAAGACAAGATTTCTTTGTGTAACCCTGGCTATCCTGGAACTCCAGACGAGGCTGGCCTTGAACTCACAGAGATCCACCTGCCTCTGCCTCCCGAGTGCTGGGATTAAAGGCATGTGCCAACAACGTCCAGCCTAAAAATTATTTTATTAAATTTTTTATATTTATGTATTTTGTGTATGCATGAAATAGTACACATGGAGACTAGAGAATAACTATCCAAAGTTGGTTGTCTCTTCCCCAGTGGGTTCCAGATCTGGTCATCAGGGTTAACGACAAGTGTCTTTCCCCTCTGAGCCATCTTCCTAGCCCTTAATTATTATTATTATTAGTGTTCATGAGTGCAAGCATGCTCACACCATGGCTCGTGTGTGTGGAAACCAGAGGACAACTTTCATGAGTCAGTTCTCTTCTCCCACCATGGGCTCTAGGGGTCATTAGGCTTATGTGGCAGGTGCTTTTCCCTGAGAGTCATCCCCACTGGCTCTTGTCCTTGGAACGCATTAGGTAGATAAGGATGACCTTGAACTTACTTTTGCCTCCACGTCCCCAGAGCTGAGATTGTGGGACTCACACTTGGCTCTCTTTTATGAACAAAGCAATCGACGTAGAAAGACTAAAATTCCCAGGAATGCTTTGCTCTCTGTCATGAACAAACTGCAAAATGTTAGCAAAGGTATTTATAAAAAAAAAAAACAGATGGGGACTAGAGGGATGGCTCAGTGGTTTAGAGTACTCATTACTCTCACAGAGAACCGGGTTCAATTCCAGCACCCAGAAGATGGCTCACACATCTGTAACTCTGGTCCAAGGCTTCAGATACTTTTCTTTTGACCTGTTTGTGCATCAAGTACACATATGCCATACCTGCATATATCCAGTCAAAACACTCATAAAAAAACCCACAGATAAACAAACCTCTCATTTTCCTCATTAAAATCACAATTTTTAAAAAGTAGAAGTCAGGGTTGTTTTTATGCTTTCCTCAAACCTTGCTATATTATAGTCTGTGATGCTTGCTTTAAAGCTAGACTCCCAGGACCCACAAGCCATCAGAGTTGTACAAACCTGCACTTTGCAAGCTTTGATCAAGGGTGCCCAGAACCCAACGGTCGTTATAAAGCTATGGGTGAGGGCTGTGACATGGCGCCTAGGATCAGACTGAGCCAAAAGTGGAGCCCAAGCAGCCCCAAATCGGCTACTAGTTCAGACATTTCTTAAAAAGCTAAAAGAGCCCAACAAGCTAGTCAGGAGTATGTTACACACCCGTAATGCCTGCACTTGGGAGGTAGAGGCAGGAGGATCAGGAGGTCAAGGACAGCCTCAGCTACATAATAAGTCTGGGGCTGGCCTGGGCTACACAATACCCTGTCTCAGGAATTAAAACCAAAGTCAGGTGGGGAGGTACATTCCCTAGTACTCACAAGGCAGAGGCAGGTGGAGTTCTGTGAGTTTCAGGACAGTCAGGCACACACAGTGAGACTCCATGTCAAAAATATAAAAATCTAGCCGGGCGGTGGTGGCGCACGCCTTTAATCCCAGCACTCGGGAGGCAGAGGCAGGCGGATTTCTGTGAGTTCGAGGCCGGGCTGGATTGATAGCCTCCAAAACAATACAGAGAAACCCTGTCTCGTAAAAACCAAAAAATAAAAAAATAAAATAAATAAATAAAAATTTAAGGGGCAATTATATGTGAACCTCTAATTTTGGATTCCAAATTATGCTACTCAAGGTTCCACAAAGTTCAGCCTAATGACCACTGAGAGATGAAGACCCAGTGACTAGAAGACTGTTTTCTCCTTAACTCTAGGAGACCAGAAGCTTTCACTCAGATGATCCCTTTAACAAGGTTCAATTTACAAGAACCCCAATCCCACCATCTAGTAAGTTCCTTTAGACATATAGCAAGTGACAGCATGCTGGGAGGTCACAGATGGACAAGGACAGATCTCGATGCTGCATGTCCTGAGGACCTGCAGAAAATACTCAAGTGTGACTTCCTTTGCAGATGGCTTCATCCGGGATTTAAAAATGGAACAAAAGAATCTGGGAACAGTTGACACTTTGAAAATCTTCCTTAACCTTCCGAGGGGACTTTAAGCAACTCTAAGAAAACCCTCAGTGTGAGTATTATTTCTATTTTTTTACTATACACGTTTATTTCTGTGTGTTCCGCAGTGCTTGTGCGACGCTCAGAGGGCAACTTCTGTGAGCTGGTTCTCTCCTTCCACCATGTGGATCCTGGGGATCAAACTCAAGTCGTCAGGCTTAGTCATCTCACTAGCCCACCCTCATTCTTTCTTTTTTAGGAGGAACTTTATTAGAACACATGAAAATGTATCGATGAATGGAGGTGTAGCTGAGTGGCAGAGTACCTCCATAGCATGTGTGAGGCATGGGTTCAATCCCATGTATCGCAAACAAACAAACAAACAAACAACCCCACAATCATGGAACTGAAGAGTCAAAGATAAATTACTGTGGGAGCCAGTCCCACCTGGATCTTAAAATCACTAGGATTAAGTTGTTCTCTTGGAAGTTCAAGTTTCCCCCAGAACAGAAGCAGTTTTAGCCACTGACAACGAGGTTTTCTTCATTGGTGCCAAGCAGAAAGGGGAAAAAGTGAAAAGACACATTGGAGTTAGCCAAGTTACAAGTCTTAAAAAAAGAAATCACCTCCCCAAATTAGAGAAGGAAGGGCTAACTAGAACCTGAGTCAGAACCCAGAGTTGAGGTTTTCTTCAAGTCCCTTTTTATTAGGGGAAAGTCTCCTTTATAGCACAAGATTCCAACACACACACACACACACACACACACACACACACACACACACACACACACATCCACTTCTAAAATTTGGACAAGGGGAGGGGAACAAAACAGAAGTACTTTCTATATATATTGAACATAAATTAAAAGAATTTATAAAATGGTCACCTTTCTTACAGAATAAATGCGACTGAATTACAGATGCACCTCCAAGTTAAGTTGTTTGAGTTGTTTCTGTTCCATTTCCACTAATAAATAAATACCATTTGATTGCATGGTTGGGACTCATCTGTGCTGCACGGGGCTCTGAGTCATTACAGGGCTTTCTTTCCGTGGTCGCCCCTTCGTGCAGCATGCGAGTGGACCATCTTCACCGGCCCGTCAGGATGCCCACCCTCTTTTCGGGGTGGCATTCGCTCATTAATTCTGTCTAGACCTCGGGCTTCTTCAAAACTTTGGATCTTGTGTGGATACCCTTTGATGGCTGCAGAAAAACAAGAGAGGGGTAGGGAGTGCTCATGGAGGTGACAAAGTCAACAGCTTAGACCAAGTTTCCGAGCACACAGCAATCTCCTAAGAACACACAGGAAGGTGGCACAGAGCACATATCTGGTGACAGGCAACGTGATTAATTAGCCTTGCTTCCATACAGCTCAAAGTGTGGTAGAAACTGTCACAAGAGTAAAAATTCTGGCAGAAATAATCTTGACAAAAAGGATTAGTTCTTAATTGGCCTCCGCACACCGGAACTGTTTAAGAGAAACCCGTTCGATTCTAGGAAAAGGTAACACCAGGAGGGCACAGCACAGCACTGCACACAGATCACTGCTTTCAGCACACGCATCACCCTGACCACACACAAGTGACAAGAGATTTATCTGCTCAAGACAGCTTTCTATGTTCACAGCCAAGAGCTGAACACTAGATTAAAAGCCATCAGCACAGCTTCTAGATACTGCCCATCTGATTCAGCTGTGAAATTTCTTTCTTGTGGCATTGGGGATTGAACCCCGGGCCTCACACACCCTAGGCAAACATTCTGCCACTGAACTACAAATCCAGCCAGATTCAATTTTGTATTGTCAAAGAATGAATTACCTCTTGGATCACTTTATCTAATAAAAGTGAATCTACCATACAGGTTTATCAATTCCAATGGTATTATTTAAATACGTCTCTATAGAAACAAAGATGCCTTAGTCTGAATGCCTTAGGGCAACTTCAGAAATGAAGCATCTAAATTCTGTCTGCTCTTGCCTCCACGCCTGCTAAGCTTTTGAGTCACTGGGCAGCAAAGCATGTCTATCTGCCTCTCTTAATAAGGAGCAAACTACTTAAACCATTCAACGACGGTCATGCCAGCTGCACAGGCTTCAGTCATTACATAAAACTGACAGACTCAGAAAGGACACAGAGTGTGATGGTCATCTGAGAAGCAGGGTGACATGTGGCTATGCTGAGTGTCACCCTCTCCTTTGATGTCACAGTTTAGAAATGCTGACGAAGCTTTGAGACTGGTGCACAGACACAGGGGCATTCCAACAGAGTGATAATGGCCATACCTTCCCGTGCCTCTGCTGCTTGTACTGTGGCTGAAAGAAGGCAGGAGCATTGGCACGCACAAACGAAGACAGAGAGAGTGAGTGAACCAACAGCAATGCTGCCAGGACAGACATCCCAGGGTCCCCCTGCCAGCCAGCCACCCGTCATTAAAGTCGGTTCTGAGTTAAGAAGAAATTAGGGGATTCCTGCAAAGAGCCGGAGGAGGGTGTGCACATGAGGCGGCCCGGATTAATGTTTCTAACATTTCTGGTGGCATGGGAATGCTGCTCTCTTCATGAGAAATGGCCAGCTGCTAGTTTGTGTCTTGTGATCGCACATCAAAATGACTTGTCAAATCAGATAATTTAACATCACAACTGTGTTTGAGTTTATAACTGCTCAGATCGTATCAGAAGAGCTGTTGCTGGGTCCTAATTAAAAAATCCTGCTTCTTTACTGTTCTCAAATGACTGATGTATAACCCATCTGCCTTTAACCACTTAATAAACAACAGCAATAGGGCAGCTCCTTGAATAGCTCTGGAATTTGGAAAGGAAGAAAAATAGGTTTTAAGTGAGGCATTACTTCTGATCTAGTGGTGAAGGACACTGATTTGAACTCAAACTCATGTACCCATCTGAGATGAGAGCTATGCAGGAGAGCAGGTCAATTACTAAGAAAGCCATTTTCCCCTTCTCAGTGACAGAAATGGAAATAATTTAAAACTGAGCACCAGCAGGGAAACTTCCTCCTGCCATTCTCTTTCAGACTGTAATGCACAGAAAGGTTCTGGGTACAGCAAGAAAGATCCCACTGGCATCCTGCCAACTCCTCTAATGGCAAGGGAGGAAGGCCACTCAGCAGTAAGACTACTGTGTGGCTTTTCCCATCACTAGGAGAAGGGGGAGAGCTGCAAAGCTACTGACCCTCCTAGCAACCCAAGTGCTTGTGTTTGCTGCCTGGAAGGGTCCTGTCAAAACCACTGCCACATCCTCCCTAACCTCAGATGGGCCTGGTAAGCTACATAAGGCAGTGACAGCACCTTCTCACAGAGCAGGGCACTGCACATGCAGCTGTGAGGAAGTGGGAGCCAAACCTTTGTCTAAAATTCTATGGGCAGTGCTGGTCTATTCAGCGTTTGAATTTGTGTGGTAAAGTATATACCAGGATCACATTTCAAAGAAAAGTAGTTTGCACTCATTTCATGTGTATGAGTGTTTTGCCTGTATTTATGGAGGTCAGAAGAGGGTGTTACATCCCCTGGAACAGGAGTTAAGTATGACTGTGAGTCATAGAGTCAGTGCTGGGGACTGCATCCAGATCCCCTGCAAGGACAACGGGTGCTTTAACTGCTGCGCAATCTCTCCAGCCCCTTAAATGTTCTATTACGTGTGTGTGTGTGTGTGTGTGTGTGTGTGTGTGTGTGTGTGTGTGTTACATTCATGAGCATGTGTGTGTGTGTGTTACATTCATGAGCATGTGTGTGTGTGTTACATTCATAAGCATGTGTGTGTGTGTTACATTCATGAGCATGTGTGTATGTGTGTTACATTCATGATCATGTGTGTGTGTGTGTGTGCGCGCGCGCGCGCGTGTGTGTGTGTTACATTCATGAGCATGTCACAGCACACATGGAGTTGAAAGCGTGTAGGCGTCAGTCAGTTCTCTCCTTCTGCACTCAGGTCATCAGGTCTGGCAGTAAATACCTTTTGTTACCCACTAAGTCATCTCACAGGCCCCTAACCCAATGGTTGCAAGATTTTTATTTTTATATATACAGTGTACATATCCACCTCCTTCTACCTTCATGGCCTCTCGATTTTTGCTTAATAACTCAATGAATCTATTTAGTGCTGTCCCTCATGAACATGGCTGTGAAGCCATCCATTGAAGGAAGCATGGTCAACCTAAGACCATACTCCTAAAGAAATGTGCAGGGTTTTGTTTTTGAAAGATACTTGCCTACTTCTGCTTTATTTTCTAATTAGTCATGTGAAATTTTCTGTGAACAGCTCTGATGAGGGTATTTTGGGGTAATGGAAGTAGCATGGGTGAGAGAGAGACAGAGACAGAGAGAAATGACTATATAGCTTCCTTACTTTTGAAAATTTATTGATCCACCAAGTTGTGTTAATCTAAACTTTTCAGGTTTTTGCTAGATCTTAAATCTTAAACCAAGGGCAACAAGAGAATTTTATAGATATGTTAACTTGGTATATACATGTTTGTTCACACCTTTTTGGACTTGGTCCCAACATATTTTATGCTTCTTCATTCCTGGTTTGAATCGGTGTTTTAATCAACTTAGGATTGTTTATATGTTATTTTTTCAGGAATGTCACTGACTTTCAGAGCTCACGCTGTGATGTCCAGTGGACGCGCAGCAGCCCACTCTATCAATGCAGTACAACTTATTCGCTACCAACAGGCAGAGGAGTTGCTTCTGATTTGGGGCTACCATGGTAAAACCACAGTAAACATCCTTATGCATCCCCTCTGATAGACATGCGTGTTAATTCCTCTTCCATTTTCTTGGTGTGGCGTCACATGTGTGGGTACAAATGTGTTTAACTTCACTGGCCATCACCTGGCCAAAGTGGTTGAATCTATTTATAAATCCACTAGCCTGGATCTAGTCCGGTCCTCCATAGACATGCCAAATACTGGATCTTGTCAGGTTTTTTATTTCAGCTATGCTATGGGTACGCAGTAGTATTTCACTACATTTTAGTATTCATCTTCCAGATGGCTAACTATGTTAAGCATCTTTGTAGATGTTTGCTAGCCATCTTGAAATCCTCTTTGGTGATATAAACTGAAAAAAAATCATTGAGCTATATTTGAAATTTCTTTTTTCTTATTATTTGTTGTCTATCCTGAAACAAAGCCTTGTCAGACATAGATAGTACAGAAATCTTCTCTGTGGCTTGCCTTTTCCTTCTCTTATGTATTTTCATAAGGATAATTTGACTTTAATAAACTTTTTTTTTAAGGTCAGTACTTTCTGTTTCTCATTAAAGACTCTGACTACTCCAATGCCTATTCTCCATACTTTTTTTTTTAGCTTGTTTTCACTTTTGCATTTAAATTACAATGTACCTTGAAATATTTTTTGGTGTACAGGTAAGAATAAAGGTTATGATTCATCTTCCCTTAGATAAATATCCATTGCTCTAGTACCAGGTCCTACACAAAGTCACTGATTGCTGGTAATGGGAGGGGCATCTTCATACTCACCAGTCTCAATGGTCTGCCGTCCTCCAGAGAGGACCCCCAAGGGGAGTGTGCCTGTGGGAGTGAGGCCCTTGAGGGTTAGCACACTCTCACTCTCCTCCCTGCAAAGGAACGGAAGCCCTGGTTAATGCCAGGGAGCCTCAGCACAGCCAAGTAGTGACATCATAAGGAGAGAGACAGATGAAGACAGGTCCCCTACCCGCATCTGACCCAGGCTTTCTGCAAACGCTTCAGATACAGTTAGCCTGTCCTTTTCCAACCAGAGGCACTAGTAGCCAGGCACTGTTCCCTACACTTTATCCCATTTGACTCAGCTAACAACATGTGAGCTAGGTCCTATCATAATTTCTATTTTATAGTCAAGGAAACTTGAGACCCAGAGATTCAACCCAAGGCAAACACAGCTAAGGAAAGCCAGAATTTGAACATGGGGAAACTGGCTCTAAAATCCATACTATAAACGTCTATATCTATGCCAGTACTAATGAGTGTTTTCCAAACTGTTACTTTCCTATGGAAGTCTGGTTCAACCTACACTCGACTAGAAGCCTTGCAGTTCCAGCACCAGATTGCAACCTTAAAAACACTACTCTAGAGCTAACTTCTAACCTACTTTGCAGATGCCTTCATCCCACAATGTAACAACAGAACCTTACCGAAGAACCGAAAAGACCCGTGCCATTTTCCCAATGGCTCTGACTTTATTCCTGATGATCTCTTTTCGAACTGAAGTGCCTCCTTAGAAAATACAAAGAACAAGTGAGTTAAAGGGATGTCGTTAACAGGACAGCTTTTTCAAATGCAGGATAGAGTGTCTTTTGTATTTAAATTAAAAGGAAACAACAACAAAAGAATCAAAATCTGATTTTTAAAGAACAATAACCTGGCAGGGGTGGGGTGCCCAGTACTCAGGAGGCAGAGGCAGGCCATCTCTATGAGTCCAAGGCCAGCCTGGTTGACAGAGTCCCAGGGCAGCTGAGGCCACACAGAGAAACCCTGGCTTGAAAAATCAAAACAACAACAACAAAATCCCAGGAAGTTGTAAGGAACAATAGGAAAGAAGAGAAGAAATGAATTAAAGAATGAATGAAGGGGCCACAAAAGACCCTGGGTCATCTATGGGGGGCAGGGAGTTTTGGAGGTCCAAAATGCTGAACACAGTGAGGGATGAAAGAGACAAAAACAAAGCTCACAACGACAAGCTGCTGCAAGCCGTGATCTCTTTTGAGAACGCTACAGGCCACCTTTGGATGCAGGGTCTGGTCTGCCAAAGGGAGCAGCTGTCCTGGACTCAGGAAGGGCTGCTTTCTTTCTCTGATTTCCAATACTCACGCCAGCAGTTTCTTTGGAATACTGCTAACGACTGGGCCACACAGATGACAAGGATGGGTAAGGCATCGTAATAAGCATATTGAAAAGTTAATGTAAGACTTGATGGTCTTTTCTTACTTAAGATTTAGAACAAACATGAAAGGTAAGATCCAGGCATACACCAGGAGATGGCATCCAAAAGGCAGACAAAGATACATAGGCTTTCCTTCCTCTCAATGCTGCTGGATCAAACAACAGGTTCACAGAAAACAACCGTTCCCGCTGAGAGGGAGGGTGGAAAGTCATGTGAAACTGCTCTACCACTGATTCAAAACCACTAGCCAATCAATGGCGGCAGAGCAGACAGCTAGAATTTAGCTCATAGCACATTTCTGTTGGATACCTTTCAGACAGCTTGAAATGTAGTGATCTTCAGGGAGAAGAAACACCAAGAAACAAGGAGATGAAGACAGACACATGGGAGGAGGGTGCGAGTTTACATGAAAGAGAAAAAAATCTGAGTGAAGTTATGGAGAGGAGCAGGCTGTTAGCCGACCAGCTCGGAGACTGCCTGCTCCGTGAGCGCTGCAGACGGACTCCCTTTTCTGTCCTTTCTTCCATGTCGTAACAATTTAACCTTTCATATCAATTCCCATCTACTATCATCTCATCCCCCTCATCATAAAAATAACACAAAGATACTGTTTGTGAGGCAGCACAAAGAACAAAAACAATGGACAAGAACGGTTTACAGATCTCTCAACAGCAACACTGCACTGCTGTCTGACTTGCCAGCACATCTCACTTTTCAGGAGACATTTTCTTTTTAAGCTTTCAGGACGTCACGTTGCTTTCTGTGGCTTTTGTCTCATAAAGACTTTGCTGAGGAACTTGATGATCCTTGGTGTTCACTTATGATTAAGTGGGAGGAGGGAGTTAAAAACTTCTAGAGCTGGGATGGGCAACAAATGGCTCTAAGCATTGTATGCTGGGCCTGTTAGGGAAATGAGTTCTTGTTTGGGCATTTACACACCACGACTCTTTTGGTTTTGGAGATCAGCCTCCAGACTTCAAATTAACAGCTTTATTTTACTTGGGTAAACTCAGTGTCCCTACCTGTTCCTCTATTCTCAGTTCTAGCAACTGGTACTGACATTCAGCAACCCCCAATCACTAATTAGGGCTTTAGTGTTCCCAAATAAACTAAATGAATATACGAATGCATTTTAAAGATAATCTGTTACCTTCTTCCATTACTAGCCTTAACATTTGATGTTCCTACAGCAGGAAAAGAGATTTGGCTTTGTTTTTCTTTTAATTAACATTTTAAGTTACCATACAAAGTACCACACAAAGGTCTCATTCTGGCATTTCCATACATGTGTTGTCATGTGTCTTCTAGTTTGCCTCCCTCCCCACTGTTCTCCTCCAATGAATTTGTTTTCTCAGCTCCCAAAAGTTCTATCTCCCTTTTTTGCATGTAACTTTTTACCTTTTTACTATGAAGCACAATGGGTTTCCTGCATTTATACAAAGCAAACTAGCCACTGCACGATTTGTTAAGCACATGCCTATAAAACTAATCACCCAGGCTGTCACCCGCAGTCTCTTTTGTCTAAAGGACACCACTCTTTTGCTTTTCACTGAGAATTTTTTTCTTCCTGCTCTTTGAAAGTCTTACTATGTATGAATACATATATATGCACTATAGGTTTTATTGTCTCTTTTGTCTAAAGGACACCACTCTTTTGCTTTTCACTGAGATTTTTTTCTTCCTGCTCTTTGAAAGTCTTACTATGTATGAATACATATATATGCATTATAGGTTTTATTGTTTTTTTTTAAGGCTGTATCTTCTCTTTGTATGCACACTCAGCAAGAGAAGGTCAGAAGACAAACTCCAGGAGTGGTTTCTTTTCTTCTATTTTGTGGGTTACCTGCTGCCTCAGGCCTGGCAGCAGGTATCTTAACCTATAGGGTCATCTCACTGTCCAGATTCAGGTTTGGGATTTCATATAATTGGACAATTAAGAATTGGGGGGGTCTGGCTTATTTTATTCAACATTATATTTGTAAGACTCATTCACAACTTCACTATGGTCCATTTTTATTATCACATACAGTGCCACTGTAGCACTATGTCACAATTTTATTGTCTTGTTTCGTTTTGTTTTTTGAGAGAGTCTCTTTACATAGATAGCCCTGACTGTTCCAGAACTAAGTAGACGAGGCTGGCCTCCAATTTAAAGAGATCTGCCTGCCTCTGCCTCCAAAGTGTTGGGATTAGAGGTATGTGGCACCATCAACTATACCACAGTTTATCACCTGTGCTGCAATAATCATTTGGGTTGCTTCTACCTTTTGGGCACAGCATGTGAGACTCTTGTATGTGTCCCAGGACATCTGTCTTTGCTGCACATATGCACATGTTTCTGGTATGTTTCTAGGATATTAGAATGCCCAGCTCTAGAGCATGTGTATGCTTAACTTTAGGTAACAGTTTAGCACCACCTATTAAAGTGAGATCTACCAAATTATACTTGTGTGTGTGAGCATTTCCATTACTGCACATGATAGCTAACACTGGATATGGCTCATGTTTAATTCTGGCCAATCTAGTAAGTATGAAGTATTATCTGTGGTGGTTGGAAACAAAATGGCCCCCCAATGAGTGGCACTACTGGGAGGTGTGGGTTTTGTTGGAGTAGGTGTGGCTTTGTTTGAGGAAGTGTGTCACTGTGGGGGTGGGCTTTGAGGTCTCATATATGCCCAAGTCATGTCCAGTATCTCAGACAACTTCCTGTAGCCTGAAAGATGAAGAACTGTCGGCTCCTTTTCCAGCACCATGACTTCCTGCACATCACCATGTCCCTCCATGAAAATGGATGGGACCACCAGGCGGTGGTGGCACACGCCTTTAATCCCAGCACTCGGGAGGCAGAGGCAGGCGATCTCTGTGAGTTTGAGGCCAGGCTGGATCGACAGCCTCCAAAACAATACAGAGAAACCTTGTCTCGTAAAACCAAAAAAAAAAAAAAAAGGAAAATGGACGGGACCTCTGAAGCTGTACACCACCCCACTAAATGTTTTCCTTCCTAAGAATGGCCATGGTCATGGTCTCTTCACAGAAATAGAAACCCTAACTAGGACATATCTCATTATATTTTTTAAAGATTTATGTTCTGTCTGCATGTATTCCTTCAGGCCAGAAGAGGGCACCAGATCTTATTACAGATGACTGTGAGCCACCATGTGGTTGCTAGGAATTGAACTCAGGAACTCTGTAAGACCAGCTAGTGTTCTTAGCTTCCAGTCCCCCATTATGATTTTAATTTGCATTTTAATGATTACTAATGTGATGTGCCTATTCACACCCCATCATCTTAATTGGTAGTAATTTAGTCTTTTGTCAGTAGGCCATTTGTTGGTTTATTGCAAATATCCTGTCCTTCTGGGCAGCTTGCCTTTTCACATTCTGAACAGTCTTTGAGTAAACAAAAACTCATTTATTTATTTATTTATTTATTTATTTATTTATTTATTTATTATGTGGTGTTCTGTCTGCACGTATCCCTGCCCATCAGAAGAGGGCACCAGATCTCATTATAGATGGTTGTGAGCCACCATGTGGTTGCTGGGAATGAACTCAGGACCTCTGGAAGAGCAGCCAGTGATCTTAACCTCTAAGCTGTCTCTCCAGCCCTTTATTTTATTTTTAAAGGATAGTTCTGTTTTACGAGCATGAGTATTACCTGCACATATGTAAATGTACCACATGAATGCAGCACCTCAGATAAGAGAGAGCCTCTGGAACCAGAGTCAGATCCGGTGGTGACAGCAACCACATGGGTGCAAGAGCTTCGAGTGTTCTTAATCTCCAAGTCATCTCTTGATCTGGCCTTTAACTTATTAATGGTTTTCTGGATGGCTAGTGGTTTATTATGTTTTTTCCTTTTTTGTTTTGTTTTTGCATCCTAAAGGATTTTTCCAATTCAGTGTTATCAAGTTAATTCTATAGTATAAACACTACAACTGTTATTGTTTTGCATTTCGTTTTTTAAAACTTTTGTTGTTTGTTAAAACAGGGGATTTCTGTGAAGCTCAGGTTAACCTCAAATTCACTACATAACCCAGGCTGGCCTCAACCTATGGGTCTCTTGCCACAGTCCTGAGTGCTGGGATGACAGGTGTTCATCACCACCTTGTTCTTATTTGTCTGTCTGTTGCTGGGATGGTAGCAAAGCTAGAGAAGCATCCGGGAACTTAGAGACGCTAGAAAAGCACTACACTACAGAGTCACAGCATATATGAATGGAATATAAAGCCACAAAAGTATTTTGGATCCTACAAAATAAATTCCACATAGATTTTTTCAAAAGTGGGTGTCCACTAAGTATTTATTTTAAATACCATTATTAGCCAGATGT